TAAAGTTAGCCCTTTAATGAAACGCAGAATGACATACACGTTGCCTGTCTTTTGTTTGTGTTATAACGAGCTCTACCATTATTAGTTAAAAAGGTAATGAAAATGTTAATGGGCAATTTCAGGCGATAAATTAAAAAAGTATTATTTTTATGGGTCTGTTTAATCACCTATAGTTAATAGTTAAAATGTGTACTTATTGATACTGTAACAAACATAAAAGCTTATTTGGCTTAATTATGCATTATAAATGAATAGAGAAAAAGAATACAGCTGCCTTAGTTATACCTAATTAGGTGTCTTAGTAAAACTTGCTACCTACCCCGACGTAGAAAACAAATGTCAAATTTTACATAAAACTATACATTTAAATGATGTGTCAAAACAACGATAAAAGCACGTAAGCTGCAAAATAATATTTGCAAGCGGTCGATATCGCCTAATGAAGCCATCACTCCCGCTGTGTTTATTACAATTTATATTTTTTAGATTTTAACTTTAAGGTTGCGACATTTCCTTTGAAAGGAACGTTTCGCTGTCCGAGCGGCTCGTTAAGGGATCGCATCAGCATATCTTGCGATAGCGCGTGCGACCGACATCCTCGTGGAAACACTTTATTTACGCTTCTTACTATACGTACGTCTATTACTATTAGCTTAAAACAGGATACACTTTTTTTAGGATATAACATCGATATTGTCTATAGGTAAATATTAAATAATCCTATATATGTTAAATAAAAAAAAACTAAAGTAGCTTCACTTCAATCGTCTTCCTGCTAAGCTATTAAAAATTTAAGTTACATATCGACTATTCAAAATAGATGAATAAAATTGTAGTTTGGACGTTTTCTAGTACAGGCTATAACAGGGGTTGCGAACCTTTGGCACGCGTCCCATAATGGCACACGACATTATATCTTGGGCACGTCGAAAATAATAAAAAACATTACCAAAAAAATTATGAAGTAGGTGCACCATTGACGTAATAATCGCAGACAAATTCGATAACACGTCAAGACCGCATTAAACATTTCTTTAAAAAAGTCACTTATGCATGTTCGCCACCCCTGGACTATAACATAAATGATGGCACATGGTCTTTAGCGAGAGGGTAGACGTGTAAAACGGCGCAAATCACGGCGTAAACACGATGCGGGATAGTCCGCGCGTGCCGATACTATCGCCCCCGCGGAGTTACGTTGTTTACGGCCCTCAGCCGCGGAGCGACTCTCAACACGCGACATGCGATCCTCCTAACCCGATTTAACCACTCCAAACAACTAAACGAACGGTAATTCTATACTTAAAAGCTTTAGTAAGAAAAATAGATTAAATATTGTCTATAACAACACCATAGACACAATAACTTTTTAAATAATTAATTTGCAAAGCTCTACAGTTGAACAATTTTTGAAAACACCTTTTAGAAAACAATGTTTAATTTCAAATCGACATTTACAGTATTAGATAGGACAATACTGTAAAGAAACACAATTGAACAATACAAGAAGGTAAATTCCGCATAATTCAGGGCTGGAAAGTAAATGAGAACAGAATATGATAGCACGTGTCTACGGCATGCAAATAAGTGCGCATTAAAATGCAAGATGGCGGAAGCCCGCACGCGAGGTCGCGGGGTCGTGTATCGCCACGCGCCATTGTCCGAACTACCAATGTTGGGAACCATAAAGCAGTTTTGCTCTATTTAATAATTAAAAAATACCGATTTTTGCATGTGTCTATTTTTTATTATTATAATTTAAAAGCCTTCCTAACGTCTTTTTAGTAATTGAGATCAAAGAGTCCGCTCTACTTCTGCCAACCAAAGAAATAATAAGTAAGTAAGTAAGTAATATTTTTTCGCTAATAAACTTCTGCTTGGCATTTTTATATAATTAAAAGATTGGTAATCAGAAAAATAGAATACTGAAAATTTTCCTGTACAGCATGGTCACCCTAGTTATATCCTCTCACGATCCGCTAAATCGCAGCTTACAATGGCACTGCTTGCCCGCTTAGACTAGAATCCCGGTGAAATACTCCGTAATGTAAGGAAACACTTCAATTATTTACCCTGCATTATTAACTATTTTAGGAGCCAATCTGTGCCTTGTCCATACTAAAGAGGAAAGTCCATATTGTATAGAGGAAAGATTTGTATTTGTGGACTTTTGTATGTATTGGAAAACTCAAAATCTACTTGGGCGATTTAAAAAAATCTTTCACTATTAGAAAGGTAATTTATCTGCAACTTAGGCTATGTTTTATTTTTTAATTTCGCGTGGACAAAGTCACAAACAACAGCTAGTAACATTAAGGGATAGATTTGAATTCTTGTATGTATTGAAATAACTCAAAAACTACTGTGCCGATTTGAAAAATTCACCATTAAAAAGCTACGTTATCAGTAAGTCACATAGCCTATGTTTTTAATTTTTTTTATTTCACGAGGGCGAAGTCGCGAACAACAGCTAGTACTTAGATACACCATCATCTGTATCTCTCATATTTATCTGGATTCTGAAACTTAGAATCAAAACATTCATAAAATCTTTAAAAACATTCATTTAATGACTAGCTTTCGCCCACGGACATCCGTGCGGAATAAAAGAAAAACTTAGCAAATAACTTATGCATTCTTCCAGACTATGTTCAACATCTATGCCTAATTTAATCAACACAACACCTAAACATCCGTATCCAAAAATAACTCCCAAAAACTTTTACTACTAAAGTCCTGATAACGCCTACTTGAATTGCTTAGCAATTTTACAAAAAGTTGTTTCAATTTCTGGAGCAAATACTAACATAACTGTTATCTACTGTTAAAAACGCGAAAGAAATCATAATATAATAGTGTTAAAAATTAATAATAAATATATCAATTAACGAAATAAATTTTATAGTAAAAAAAAAAAACTTTATAGTAAAGATATTAAGTAGATTAAATAATATATACTTTTTTTTTTTACATAAACTTCCTTTAATTAACATTATGACTCGAACGGTTACAATCTCTATGAAGGGTCAAAACTAAATAAAACAAAAAATTAAAAAAAAAGTTTATTAAAAAAATTGAAATCAGACTCCACAGGAAAGAATCGTTAGAGTCACAAGTATTAACAAATGGGAAACTCCCTAACGGTTTGGAGTGCATTAACACATATAGCTATCTCTCTCATTCGATTTGAGAAAGACAGAGACGACATGTGTTATTCGCAGTCGACCCACAGTAAAGCCCGCTACAAACGCAAGTTTTATCCCATATCTGAACAGTCCGATAGTTCAGAGAAATCTAACAAAACTGGAAACTGTTCAAAAGTAATTTTTCCCTACATAGGTCAGATTTGTCTGACGTTCAGATTTTGTCAGATAAAAGAGCATGTGTAGCCTTAACGTACATTCAGAGATTCAAAAAATTTCTAGAACGGGCATTATGGTGAGTTTACGCTGTCGTAACATATGTATAACAATATTGTCATCTCTATGAGAACCGAAATAACAAGATTATACAAATATTACAATTGAAATTCTATAAAAAATTCTCTACAAAAACATCAAAATCGTTAGTCACGGGCATTATCTAACGGTAACTCGGTTTACAGTCTGTTCGCGTTGTCCTGTCTATTGATAATTGAATGTCTTCATTTAATAATAGCGTTAAAAAGCCTCACCTTATAATTTGATAATTTGAGCTATAAAGCTAAACTTAAGATAAATCACGTTGAAAATATTTACATATTTTAGTATTTTTGATACGAAGCCAACAATTTTTAAAACGTTTGTAATTAATTATATCATAAATAGCATGCTTTAATGACCAATTTTAATTAAAAATATTCAGAGAATAAAGAATATAGAAAGGCCCAAAAACCTTTCGAAGATTCTGGAATTATTAGACAAATAAAAGTTTGCCCGCCACTATTTTATACAGCTGTTCCCGTGCGACGTCATCCGCATGAAATTATAAAAAAAAAAATTTTGTTTACATTTGTCAAATTTTCTTGATGTTGGCAGCAACTTATGGTCTCTTTCCCACATTAGGGTTTTTATCCAAAATATTTAACCCCTAAGTTCAATTGCGTGAAAATATATAGCCTAAAGCGTGACGTTAGTGTAGGGCTTTTTATTGAAAAAAGAATTATTGAAAAGTATGCTGTAATTGCTGACATCTTCGGCAACAAAGAATTGTGTGTTTACGCTTTATTGTAATAGTATAGATAGTATAGAAGTATATTATTGAATATTGTCTCATTTATATCTTAAAACCTATCCTAATGTTTAAAATCAACACTTAAAAATGTCTTTTTGTAATAGTTTAAAACGTTTAGGCATATTTAAATTATAAAAATATATAACTAAGATATTAAAGCTAAGTCTATATTTGTTATTGTGTTAAAAATATGATGCCAAAATCGTTAACCGCATTATGAAGATTTCGTGTTAAAATGAATATATCAACAATATGAAACATCTAAATGCAAGTAAAAAAAAACATAAAAAAACATGAATATTAATCCGTTTTGAGTAAAATAAACAAATTAAAAATTAAATAATATCAGCCATTATAGGAATTAAATATAAAATAAAGTATAAAATGCTAGAATAATATACATTTATATAAAATTCTATTTTCTATCCTTTTTTTTAATGTTAGCAAAAATAACTGCAAATTTTCGTCTAGTTAGAAGCAAAATTTTAGGTTTTTTTGTAAGCAAAGAGCTTTAATACCGCACAAATGTTTCTGAACTGTCGCAAGAATAAAAAATATTGTAATAGGCATTTAGTTGCGTTATAATAAAATGAGTTTAAAAATATTTGCGCGAATTGCAAGCAAAAGCACATATAATGGAATGCATCAGTCTTAATCCAAATGAAATATGCGTAAAATCAATTTAGTTTTTGGAATAAAAATATATGTTAGCCAGCCAACAAACACACACTATGATGGAATATAAAAAGATATTCGACTTAGACAAGTTGCGAAACATGTTTACGCACACAGTCATCGGCTGTTGGGGACGCTCCATTTGTCCTGGCATCTAACAAACAAACAGAAAACAAAAAATCACAATCTAAACAAAAAATCAGCAATAACAACAAATATGCTGTTTGTTACAAAATATATGCTGTAACCATTATAAATAGCTTAATGTTCAGGCACAGCTTTTGTATATTATCGAAAAAAAAATATAAACAAATATTTACCATGAGATTTAATATAATTAAAAATTGAATTTGCTACAGTTTGCGAGCCCTACGTGAACAAAAAAATGTATGAACCCCTATATGTATAAGTGTTCAAAAAACGTAGTATAAAAAAAACAAAAAACATACTCTAATCTGACTAAATATAGGAGTTTGAATGGATGTATCGATGGATGTTTGTAGCCTAAACCGCTGATCGGATCTCGATGAAATCTGGCATAGATGTAGAACAGTCTGAAAGGAACACATGATACACACAATTTTCACGATTGAACGAAATCGCGGGCGAAAGCTAGCTTATTGAAAGATAATCACCCTCGATCCGTGCGCCTTGTAGGTGACGTAGGGCACGAGAGACACGCGCTTGTTGCTATCGAGCGAGGAGCGCACAGCGCGCGCCTGCTCGCGCCGCACCAGCGCCACCAGCGCTGACGTCTCGTCCAGGAACTGCACCGTCACCGGACCTGCCACACGCACACCGTCACCTCTCATACACCTCAAATACATACTCCATACAAACCTATAACCATCGCCTGAAAGCAAGGTTGCCAACCCCTAAAAAGTCCAAATACTAATCTTACTAATATTATAAACTAGCTGTTCCCGTGCGACTTCATCCGCATGAAATTATGAACATTTTATTTTATTGTTTACATTTGTCAAATACTCAATTCCAAATGTCAAAATGACATGACATGATGACAAACTATGGCAACATTGCTTCCTTGATGTTGGCAGCAACTTATGGTCTCTTTCCCACATTAGGGTTTTTATCCAAAATATTTACCCCCTAGGATTAATGGCGTGAAAACATATAGCCTAAAGCATGACGTAAGTGTAAGGCTTTTTATTAAAAAAAGAGTTATTCGAAAATATGTTGTAATTGCTGACATCTTAGGCAACAAAGAAATGTGTGTTTAAGCTTTATTATATTAGTATAGATGAGAATGTTTGGATGTTTGTAGCCTAAATTTGAACGGGTCTCGATGAAATTTGGCATTATGTAAGTAGTCTAAAAGAACATATATGCTACTCATTTTTGTACTTCTTAATTCTCCGCTGATGGAGTCACGGGCAAAAGCTAATAAATATTATAAATGCAAAAGTTTGGTATTTTGTATATTTAATAGAGTGTGGTGAAGAAAATGGATACTATAAATAATGATGAAATCAGTGATAACTTACCATAAATATTGAACAACTGGCTGATGTCACTCCTCTGCCAGTCTTCGGGGAATGTTAGATAAAACACGTGATCCCTCGACGGCGTCGCTGGAAGTCAAAACTTCATTAGTAAATAACCATAAACATAGAATTTAAAAAACGATTTATTCTTGATTCCTAAATAAACAGCTCAGCGTATTTTGCAGAAATTTGAAACAGATACAGAACATACTTAAGAACTCTACGTTTATTTAAAATTCGCTCGGACAATGTCACTGTTAAATGCTAGTCATTAAAATATTTGCAAACAGACTTTTTCTAAAGAGCTTCGGGGGTTTAAGAGTTAAGCTCTTGATTTGTAACATGCAGCTTCTGGGTACAAATGCTGGCATTACCCATCGAGGTTTTGATTTTAAAAATATATACATTTAATCTACATTTTTATGGTAAATAAAAACATAGTGATGTACATATCTGCAGTCATTCCAAAATATTTGAAGTCAAGTCACAGTGTGACTATGGCTATCCCCTAACATGCACGGTCCACACTACAGTACAGTTGGACAGTTACGAGGCCAGTTATAGATTATATGGGGTCATTGGCGCCAGTAAGCGGTCACAATGTACCAGTTAATTAGATAGTGTTGTGTATTGTTTCGGAACTGGCGGCTGCGCCCGCCGTCAATATGACAGTTGGTTGAATAAACAGTCTGTGCTAAGCAAGCTATCGTTTTACTACTCCCAATACATAACAGATAGCTAGTACCCAAATTTACTAGCCAAGTGTAAACCATGATTAGGGAAGAATCATCATTAGGCTCTGTATAAATCTCGCCCAGGGCGTTATGATAAAACCGGCCCTGGGCGTAACCTATCGAAGGCTGCAAGCCTAGTGGAATGGTGCAATGTGTTTGTCCAACTTACGATCAGCTCCAGTAAGGTTCATGTATGGTGAGTCTTGATGCGCTGTCTTCGCGAGGAACAACTTATTGAGGAATGGTTTGAGCGCAGCGCAGTCGGGGCCGGGCAGCCGGAGAGGGCGGTCGCCTCGCATGCGCGCCAGGTGCTGGTGCATAGCGAGGAAGCACAACCCCGTCACGTATGCATCATACCCCGCTTCATGCAACTTGTCATCAGCACGGCGGTAACCACGACCTTGCACTGATTCTACAAACATCACCCCATTTATATATTTACTAAGAGTAGCATTGTAGAGACAATTGTCAGACATTGTCTTTATTTGAAACAATTGAGTTGCAAAATATTTATGTACAGTCGCGGAAATCAGCGGTGTTCCAATTCAGAAATAATTGCCTTGTTCATAGCAACGACATAAACTCCTCCTCTTCCTACAAATAACTAAGTAGATAAGCAGTAATAGCAGTAAATAGTGTAAACGACCTCTTCGTTAATAATAAAAAAAGCAGCTGCGTATCACTAACCGACTTTCGTACAGACACATTTATAAGCTGCGTTGTAATTTTTTACGCTTTGTTTCAAAATATTTAAATAATTGTAGCTTCGAGTTAGAACACCGCCAGTTTCCCCAACTGTACAATCAGGAAATCATACGTAAACATAAACAAATAGGACGCTATAGCTTTAAATGTCTGTACGAAAAAAAAACGGTTAACGGTACATGGGTAGTTTTTCATTATCACGTCGTGTGCGCAACTCCTGCATAAATGGTTATTTATAAGGGGCAGAGTTTGTCTTATTGCAAAAATAAAGCAATTATTGTTAAGTGGAACACCGCGGATTTACACGACTGTACATATCTTACTCATACTAATATTATAAATATGAAAGCTTGAATGGTTCAGTAACTTAACACAAATCTTACTAATATTATAAATGTGAAAGTTTAGATGGATGGATGGATGGATGTTTGTTAGAGTTTGTAGCCTAAACGGCTGAACGGATTTCGATGAAATTTGGCATAGATGTAGAGGATAGTCTGGAAGAACACATAGGCTCACTTTTGTTTTTTTCAATGCCACGCAGACGGAGTCACAGGCGAAAGCTACTTTGTAATAAAAGTAACCTACCAGCTTTAGGAAGCGAGAATGGTGGTTCGGATAATGTTGCCAGCAAATGCTCGAGCACACTGGAGTTCACTTTGTCTTTGAACGGTGGGAGACTTGACATGTACTTTGTGTCCAGTAACCTGTTAAATAACATAGTGAAGACCAAATATTAATCTAAAACAGGACTGCAAATATCTGATGGTATAAAAACAATAATTATTGTTTAAAGTTTGTTAAAAGATGGCGCTGTAGACAGTCCAATGATTTCATTATGTCAAGAAGTATGTGATTTTTTTTTAATAGTCTTTCTATGGTACATAAGTTTATTTAAAGAATAATAGATGGTTAATAGATTATTCATTAAAGGAAACTGACCTTGGAAACATGCAATGTGCGAACTCCTTGAATGCTTTGTAATCAGCGGGCAGCGGTTGGAAGAAATGGTTGAGAGTGTGCATCACATCCAACAGCATGTTATGGCCTATTATCAACTTTTGCTAAAAAAAAAAAAAACAAAACATTCATATTTCAAAAAATCCTACTAAAAAAGGATATCTGACCCACTGAGAGACATTGCTATTGCCATTAGTTAGTTTGGAAAAACTAATTGTTGCTCGCCACTTCGTCCGCGTGGAATTAAAAAAAAACTATGTCACTCACAGATAAATTATCTTTCTAACGGTGAAGGAATTTTCAAAATCAACACAGTTGTTTTTGAGTTATTTCAAGGCATACAAAAATACAAATCTTTCCTCTTTATAATATTAGTATACTAGCTTTCGCCCGCGACTCCGTTCGCGGGGAATTAATAAAAAAAAGTGAGTAGCCTATATGTTCTTCCAGGCTATCCTCTACATCTATACCAAATTTCATCGAGATCTGTTCAGCCTTTAGGCTACAAACTCTAACAAACATCCATCCATCTAAACTTTCGCATTTATCATATTAGTAAGAAGTAAGATTTAAAACCTATATTAGTATAGAAACTAACATAAAATAATAACATAACAGGGCAGCACAGCATGACAAAGACTGAGTAAAAATTCTGTCAGATATATTCTAAGATTATAAATGCTTAGCTGTTAATAGGTAATATTAATAACTCACAGACTGGCTGATCATACGCATTACTTTAGAGAAGCCGACTGCTTCATCAAATTCTTCCCATTCTTTATCCTTCTTCTCTGTATCTCTGTTCCTTCCCTCAGCCTCTGATTTTAATCGAGACACCATCAGAACCCTGAAATTCACTTATAATTAAAATCTGCATAAGTTATAGATATTTGGTACAATATATTTTTATTTGTTACTAACTTTGTCCCGCGATTCCGTCCGCGCGGAATAAAAAAAAACTTAGCAAGTAGCCTATGTGTTCTTTCAGACTATGTTCAACAACTGCGCCAAGTTAGTTTAGACTACAAACTCTAACAAACATCCATTCAAACCAAACTTTTGTAGTTAGATGTTAACATTTCAGTTACATTAGATTTAGCCTGCGTCTTTGTGGGAATAATAAAATGAATTTAGCCTATGTTACTTATTGGTACTGTAGCTTTCTTATGGTAATAAAATTTTGAACGAATTGCGGTAATTTAAGAATTTACTTGACAGATAGAAAAGTATAAAACTTTCCACTTTACAATATTACTATGAAAAAGCGACTGAAATTGTTATGCACAATTCTAATAAAGGTATTGGTAAGCTCTTAAGCTAAAGGTATTGGTATACCTAGATTTATTTTCCAGCATCTTTGTCTCCACAAAGACTTCCTTCTTGAACCGATTGCCAAGCTCTTGGAACAGCAGCCGTCTGATGAAGGCATTGCATCTGTCTATCTCCATTGTATCATCCTTCTTCTCATCAAGGAATGCACGCACCTTTTTACTGAGAACAAGATACGGTCAGCTTTATGAGTATGTTTTTATTAATATGAAACTTTAGAAATTTTTTATACAACTTCGGTTTTAAAAAACTTAGCACATGAATCCATAGAATGCAAACCAAGAATATATCAACACATATATTTGATTTACATGTATATGTTGAAACTAACTGAATGTTGGGCAGTAAAAGGAAGGGACATGTGACAGAAATGCGAATGTTAAGATGGATGTGTGGGGTAATACAAATGGATAAGATACGAAATGAGTATATTAGAGGAAGTTTAAGAGTAGCCCCCGTAGTAGAGAAGATAAGGAGTAAAAGGTTAGCATGGTATGGGTATATTATGAGGAGGGATGAATCGCATGTTACACGGGGAATGAAAGTTATGAGTGTGGAAGGGTTCATCGGTAGAGGTAGACCTAGAAAGAGATGGATGGATTGTGTAAAAGATGACATAATCAAAATGGGAGTGATGACTGAGATGACATATGATAGAGTTATGTGGAGGACAAAAACCTGTTGCGCCGACCCTACGGGAGATGGTGAGAGGCCCCTAAGGAGATGATGATGATGATGATGATGATGTATATGTTGAAACTAAATGTGTGGCTATGTGGCTGACTGTATATCTATCATCTCACACATATCTTCACAGAAGTCTGTGAAAGCTCAAAAAAGCCCTTAATTGGGTGTCTTTGCAATAACACTTTGCCCGTTGAGGATTGGTTGACTTCACACACATCTCTAAATTTCTTTACAGATACAGGTTGCATTTAGTATATTACTTTAATTTTATTGTCCTATAAAAGTACAAAACACAGAATTCAACAATAATTAGTTGTGCACTGAATGGTCAATATCTTTGCTATAAAAGCATAAATGCAAAAAACAATCAAACATTATTTCACTTACCAAATGTCTTCAATTTGTTGTTTATTTTCATCTGGTATTGGAATATTATTATTACTGCTGACATAAGACTTCTGACGCTCCGTTAGGTTTTCACGTAAGCGAGTCTCTGCCGGCTCATTCATATAGGAAATACCTGATAATATACAAAAAGAACTACAATTAAAATAAAATAATACTCAATTGTTAATAAATCATGTTTTCTTCCTTTGAAATATATTTAAGTAAATTAGCTGTATGTCATTTGCCAAAAAAATTTCAAGTTTTATAAGCATATTAGAGCTGCAAATGTTTCACCAGACTGTGAGCCCCGCCCATTATCTTAAGCGAATATAAAAAGTGTAAGGTAACATAATCCAAATTTATTAATTAAAACTACCTTCTTTTATCAGTTTGTTGAAGTCAAATCCTTGACACGACAGGAAATCTAAACTGGAGCTCTGACAAAGAAATACTTTCTCAGGTCCTGGGCGTCCTCTTGGAAATAAATAGAAATTATATGCATCATTCATATAATGCTTCTCAGCTTCGTTCCAATAGAAAGCGCACAATCCGTACTGGATAATTAAAAAGTCAGTACTTCCCTTTAACAAAGTAACATAGTACTCTTGAGGGGTATCGAAAATAGTAACGTCCCGGCCATTAATAATACCGGTAAACTCTGCATCGATAACTAAAAAATCTGCTTTCTTTATGGATTCATCGATTAAGGGGAGACATTCCCTAAAATCTGTGAAAAGAAATATTTAGTAACTTCGCGGATCAATAAATATAACAACCATATGGATGGCGACTCACTGTTACGCGTCACCTCCATTCTTGTTTCTTATAATTATATTAACATTGACGAATATACACTACTATTATGTTATTTAAATAACTAATTATGAAAACAAATACAATGATATGAATTTACAAGCGCGGTATACTGTGCATTTTTTGACAATTCACACTTTGACAATCATCGATTGGTGTGGCCATTTTGTACACTCTTTTTTTTAATATCGATTTGTTGTTATCCTCAAAAATACATTTATTTTTACAATCTTTTTGGACACCTTCGCTCGAATGGGCCGGCTCGCCCGTTGTAATACCACGACCACACAGAAGACAGGCGTGAAGTGAAAGCAACTCCGCGTTTCGTCTGATGAGTGTGGTGCCGGAAGCCTAATTTAAGTCCCTCTCCCTTTCCACCCTTTTCTTAAGAGGAGAGGATGGGAAAGAAAAGTAGATTTGACGGTGGAGGAGACGCATGGAAAGGAGAAATGTCCTCTTTGTGTGCGTCTCTTCCTCCGTCAATTAAGGGTAGGCAACGCATCTGCAATTGCGGATGGTTATGGGCAGCGGTCGCTTTCCATTACGGTAAATTCAGGTGGTCGTTTGCCATCTTGTATTATAAAAAAAAAACTAACAATCTATAATTAACTTGTTTAACTTAAAGCGAATTTCTTAGCAATTTATTCAATTTTATTATCGTCCCAATATACGGCGCTTATAATAAATTAAGAGGTCCTTAATAATAAAACACACATTTTGAAATTAAAATAATATTCTCTTTATTATTTAAAAATAAAATAAACTTAAAAGAAAATCTATTTCAAAATATTCTCAATATGACTAGAAAGGCTCTCGTAGGCGGCCTTGTTTCTATACAGATGTATATTTGCCTTCACTTTCTTGATAAGCAGCTGAGGATCGACGTCGCTGAGAGCAATAAGGGCAGCTGAAATAAACGAAATTAGTTAATTTTTATTAAAATTATTTCTATGGTCAAGTTTGTCAGTTACTCAAACATTCGTTTAGTAATGTCTATGGAATAAAGTCTATGGTGAGGACCATACCAAGCATTTCCTTGCGGAACTCCTCATCTGGATCGTCGAGGTGTACGAGCATAGCGCTGTAGAGCGCATCGACGTGCGCACCGAACACGACCGTGTCGTATGGGCGCGGCCGCAGCGCGAACAGCGTACGCACCGTGCGCACCGCGAACGAACGCACCTTGTCGCTGCTATCGTCCAGACGCTTCAGCACCACTGATTAATTATTAAATATACACTATAATTATTGCATAACATGAACAACATTATTTAGTCATGTATTCGAATAGTAAAATTTAGAAGAAGAAATCAGTGTTGCCAGTAAATTACTTTTAATTGCACATGTAATTAATTATTCATACTGAAACGAATCTTAAACACTTCGCTTTTAAGCGCCGCTTACAATGTTTCAGACGACAAAATAATAGAATTTGGAATTAAGCGTGATCTTATAATTTGATATGTTATTACATATTTAAATTATGTTTAGTATTCGTCCGTTTGATTAAAATTCATAAATTACCGTATTCTTCATACCACATAATTCATAACATTTACAACTATAACGAAATGTATCTTCTCCCCTTATTCTACTCCTACCACCTTTTACTACCTACTATCATCCGTCATAACAGTGACTCCTTTCATGTTACCTTTCACGTATTCTACAAAGGAAAAGATGATGATGATAGTGAGACACAAGGTTACCCTACTTCCGTTGTGGCGGCGCACGGGTTTTTCGATCTCCAAATAACTATCATCTGTCATCACACTCTACTTGATGATATCACCTTTCAGGCAATCCATCCATCTCTTTCTAAGTATCCCTCCACACTCATAACGTCATTCTTGTTAAATGCTAACTTCAGACGACTCACCATAGTACATATTGTGCAGTATTTCCGGTGTGAAGCAGGCGCGGGCGGCGGCGAGCGCGGCCAGTGCGGCGGCGGCGCGCAACGCGTGCTGACGTGTCAGTGCGCTGTTGTCATCCGCCGCGCTCAGCACCAGCGGCACCACGCGCGCCAGAACCGGCTCTAATGATTCCTTACTCGGGAATAGGTTCACCTTCTACAAATACAATTAAAATTGGTTTTTATGCATCTTATTTAGATGGATGTTTATTAATTATTAATTAAAAGTATAGAACACAGGTTACCAAGTTTTTATTTAAATTCGCAAAGACAAAGCCGCGAGATAGCTAGTAATATACGAAATACAATGTTATTTCTCAAAAATGTGTATTAAACTAGTAGTTATTCAACATTAATGGAACTTATTTAACTTCACAAATTAGCAAATCTCTTATTGATGTTTTAAAACTTATCAAAACATAGTACAAATTGCCACGAATAATACTATTGAGGGGCGTGCAAGCATACAGAGATCTCTCTTTCTGTTTACGCCACTTATTTAAAAAAATATAAAAGTATGACCTTCTCGTTAGCATCTCCCTCAGCAGACTGATCCTTGGGGTCCGTTTGTGGAGGTCCATCTGTTTGTGGGTCCTCCTGCAGCGCGGAGCAGAGACACGCGACCGCCGCCGTGCGTATCGCCTCCGCCGTGCGCCCCGGCGACCACACCAGGTTTGGCACTATTATCTCTAAAGTATAAGAATCACAAATTACTGATAAGAACTTCTAAATGGTGAAAAAGTATTAAACTCCGAATAAGAATAAAATTTATTTAAATACGATTAATACAATAAAAATCCAACCATAAGCATTGCTAGAGACTAGAGGGGCCCTTTAGAGAATAGATAAATGTAAAATTGATATTAATAACTTTCGAATAAAATCCCTCGCTAGACTTAGCATAATCTAAATCCTACTGACATTACACTCCGGTGAAGAAAATCTTAAAAAACAATCACTGATTTTTTAAACACCCGGTATATCAATAGATAATGGAAAAGTACATCCTGTATCATCTATAAACGTACCCTCAATAACAATATTGAGGAAGGACTCCAGCTTGTCAGTATCACAGTGTGCGAAGTTAGTCTGTCGGCGCAGCAGCAGCGTGGACAGCGCCGTGAACACCTTCAGTCTCACCTCCGCGTCCACCTGCGGCGTGGCGAGGCACTCGCGCACCAGCGGCGCCACCAGGTGCAGCTGACGACCCAACGCGGACCCTAACAATATTTAACAGTGGTAGCCACCATTTTTTTTATATCATAAGGTGACAAACGACCAAGTGGCCACCTGAATCCGTCAAATTGGCGAAGCGACCCCTGTCCATAGACATCCGCAATAGCGGATGCGTTGCCTACCCTTAATCGACGGAGGAGACGCGTATAAAGAAGATATTTCCCCTTCCTATGCATCTCCTGCACCGTCAAATCTACGTTCCCTTCACATTCTTCACTTATAAAATTGTGCGAAGGAAAAGGGACTAAAGTTGGGTCTCCGGGATCTCATTCATCATAAGAAACGCGAAATTTCTCCCACTTCACGCCTGTCTTCTGTGTGGTCGTGGCATTGCTGGTGGCGAGCCGGCACATCGTGCGAAGATATTAAAGCGGCCCCTATCTATGATTGTTTTTTTACACACAGACCAATGCGGCAAGTGACAATTCCACTATAAATCTGATGAGTGCGGGGACATCAATTTATTTTCTTAAATGTTTAATGACTGTTTTTTAGGTTAATTTGGTTATTTGTGGTCTGTGGGGCAGGGGCCTGACGATTCACGCTGAAATCATAATACTAAACTTTCATGTGAAAATATCTTTATTTCTATTAAATTCGACCACATATTTCTAAACTTTACTAAAATTAAATTTAAAAATGTGTCTTTAATGGTAAGGTCTCTTACCCGCATTAAGTAGCACACACTCAAGCAGACACCGGTCTGGGGTGAGTAGAGTCCAGGTGAGCGCGTCGCTGGTGATATCTACCAGTACGCGGCGAATATGTATATCGTACAGCGATGTTAGCGTCCGACCACAATCCTCTAACTGACGCAGTTTGTCTAAATTTGCTGTAAGAATAATCTTGCGCTTACCTTTTGGTTCCTAAAGACACTATTACATGTTTTAATACATTGCAGTGAATTTTTACGGTTACAAAAACAAATCAATCCAAAGAAAACTAAGCTATAGTTGAAACAACAAAAGTCAGCATCTAAAAGTTGTGTTGAATATATCATTTTACAATATCTTCGTACCACTATTTCTGGGGTGGAAGCCCACGTTAAACCAAGTAGTTTATACATACAGAGAGCCATAAACTGCATCTTATCATCGTAAGGCATGGCGTACACTGTGAAGTTGATGATAAAGAGGTCTTCGTATACTGGCGCGCACTCCCGCCCACATAACGACATAAGCGCCTCCGTCACAAGGACCAAATTACTTTGGTACTTAGCCTAGAAAAAAAAATAACTACCGTAATAAATGTCTATATGTAAGAGCGAGATAGCGATATTGTTATATTTGATGTACCTTAAATAAAAAACTTAGTATCTAACAGTAGGAACATAACCTCTCATATTATGCATAGTTCAAACTTACACACAGTTGGATAGTAGCGCTGTCAAACTGGATTGTCACTCAACTGGAATAATATGAACACTGGCGCCAGTGAGTCCATACAATGCATAGCCTTCGCGACTGTCCAACTGTATACCAATGTAAACCACGCATAGTACACGTAATTAGAATTTAAAAAAATCTTTAAAACCAACCTTTCGCACTCTACATCTATCAGGATCAGCTAACTCTTTGCAGAGCTCTTTCATAACTTTTCCTTGAACAAGCTCCGGTTTGGAGCCCTTGAGGATGTTGGTGATGACGGTGAGGGCTGGCCAGCCGTCCACATCAGCCTCTAGCAGCGGCCACCATGTATCCGGCACTATGAAGTAGCCGAACAACTCGGCTGCGCGTTTAATCTATGAAAAAACGTTACCATGGCTATAATGACTAATCGACTCTTAAAAGAAATCAGATATGAGTCGAGCGAAATATTGAAAAAAATATCCGACTTAAAGGACCAAAATGTAGGACAAACATATTTCAAGTTAAATTTACTTTTGTAGAAACATAAATGAGAAACATAACAAAAGACAATTACAAAGGAAACACGTCTGCCGTTTTGATAGTAGATTTTACAACAGAGAAATCTGAATTATATAGAATTTCTCAAGGGTTAAGGTTTCCTTGCATTAAAAAACAAACAAAAATCAAGATAAATCTCATATACCTCAAGCACAACTCTTGCGTCCTCATCAGCGGCGCCACGCATTAGTATCCTGACGATGGCGTTGGCGTGCTGCGTGGCGCCCTCCTCCGCGCACAGCACCAGCCAGCACAGCAGCTGCGCCACGCGCAGCCGAGCGTCGCTCTGCCACCCCTCCATCTCTACAACAAACACCAATAACCGGTTACAGATGCTCGAGGATTCGAATTATCGACTATTGTTGTAAATCATTTTATACATGTAGTTCTACCATAAACTTAAGTCTGTCAGTATTAAGTAAACATTATATTTTTTTAATATCTGGAGATTGTTGTCGTACTTATTATTGTAAAGGTATAATATACAACAACATTTAATTCATACATGTTTGGTCGTTTTGAACATAATTTTTATTTATATTGAACATTAAATTAATTTATTTTATTTTATTCTAGACATAAAAAAAAAACAAATAAAGACAATCACACTCTGGTTTGCGGTCTTTTTGAGAGCTCATTGCCATACCATACACTATGGCCATTATCTTGGCCAAATAATTACATGAAAAATATATAGAACTTCTGAACTTGCTATCTTAATCTTCATATCAAATAAAACTTAAAATTAAATATTATATTTTATTTAAAATAACAAAAATAACTGACCTTTCCCAATAGCAGGTACAATTTTACCAATATTCATTTGCACCAGACACCTACAGCCAAAGTTTGGTCTCTTCACATCAGGGTAATGTGTCGGCACGTCTCTAAGGAAGTCCAATTTCTTCTTCAGATCTTCCTCATTCTCTTCCATATATTGCATTCCAATATCTGACCAGAGCTTTGTAGCGGTTGTTCGTATATCAGCCATAACATCACTCAAACTGAGAAAAATTAGATTATCTTTATTACTACGTATTTACAAAACATTTGATAAATATCGAACATAGATCAGGGGTGGCCAACTTTGTTAGACCCAAGATTAACTGACAATATCCTGTCCAAACTTCCACTTTTATACTTATTGAAATGTCAATTATTCAGCATACTTTAGTAAATAATTATTTATTATTTATTAAATCTACATATACTTTTTTCCAAAATCAACTAGACTAAGAGTCCAACAATAAACCAGTTGGTCACCAATGTCATAGACTATAGTTCAGAGTGGATCTTTTCATTTTAAGCATAAATGTTAATAGTAAACATCATTTGAAATTACTCTACCAGCTATCAACTCTTTTTAACCAACTTACTCTTCTTAACCAACTTTTAAAACTTTTATTGAGTATTTTCTTACCTGGTTAGCATAAGTGGTATCATGCGGTGCCAGAAGGAATATCTGTCTTTATATTTCATCATCCAATTACCAACTTCTAAAGTCACTTGCAATCGAACTTGTGTGTTCTCGTCAAAGAGTTTCTCTGCCATCGGTGTTATAGACAATTCAAAACATTTGGCATTACCACTTATTACTATTGCACCTGAAATGTAAACAAATGTGATTGTTGCAACATTTTTATATTATAAGTAGCCCCTGCCCATGACTGTCAACATGGAATTTTCAAAAAAAAGTTGCCTTTTTTCTGCATGCAACAGCTACCTTCAAAACTAACTGAGAGTGAACATTCTTGATAAATATGAATAGAATTCAATATTTTAAACTAAAAATTAATTTAACATTTGGGGAAGCTTTTATCTGGTTGTTGGACCACAAATAGCTTGCCCTGAGTAACACCACAATCACACAGAAGAGAAGTGTGAACTGATATTTTCTTACTTCTATTTCTTGTTTATGGCTCTCTCTCAGCGGATTGGGCCAGTGTCAATTTTTTTTTTTTACTTACCTATAGCTCTTATTGCTGCAACACGAACTCTGAAATGTTGATGTGCAAAGTTCGACAGCACAGGCTTAACAAAACTTTCTGCTTGTAAATGAAATTCTCTTTCAAGTATATTAGACAACAATATGATGCATTCACATGCTTCCAATTTCACTTTAGGAAATGGATCTGTGCTTGTTTTTGTTAAAATACTAGTAAAGTCATTAAAGAATGATGTTAGAAGCTGGGTATTTTTATATTTGAGTAATATTTTATGAACTAACTCTATTAGCAATAAACGAACTTCTTCTGAATCTTCAACAATCTCTGCGCATCCGATGCGTCGAACTATCACTGGTAAAATGTAAGTCAAATAATAATCATTAAGTGGCAAATGTTCTATGAAATTTGAGATAATAAAAGTACTCATTTCTCTGCATCCTTCCGAAGGATCGGAGAACCCTTTCAATACATAAGCATATATCTCAGGAAATATAATAGTAAAATCACAACCTTCGTTTAGTGGGTTCTCAAAAATCTCATAATTAATTTTCTGAAAGGCTTGTTTCCTTGCAATTTTAGACTCACTTTGTAAAGTCGTAATGTATTGTTCTAGCACCCCTTTAGGGTTATTTCTTAAATCCGGCTTAAGAGAAGACATCTTTGATCACATCCAAACCAAATTCAACATCGATTAAACAATTGAATAATAAGAAATTCAAATATTGTGAAATATTGATAAACACATGTCGTTTCCATGACAACCTGACATGACAATTTCATTAAACTTTGTATTGCCAAAAATAAAATTTTCAACGAGCTCTGTTTAATGGTTTATTTTATAAATAAAAGTGCAAATACATACATACAGTTATAGGTTTTTCTAATGTTAAATAAGAATGAAAATATTTAACATTAAAAAATAAGCAAAGGATGACAAAAACAAAATGTTGTGTAAAACGTAACGTTTACAAAACGTCTCAAAACGTGCACCAATCACGTCAAGCCAAGTAAAGCTGTCAACGTCTTCAATTTCATGAATGGACGAGATTCTTCTATTTAAGCATTTTCAGTTTGGTTTTGCTATTTCTAAGTTGCCTAAACTGTGATTACTGAAATAAACGTTGGATCTAGGACCAGAAATAATATCACAATGTATAAATTAAGTATCAATTTATTACTTTTCGCGGCGGTGCTACAAATAACCTTTGCATTGAAGGAAGGTGAATGTGAGGTTTGTGTTAAAACAGTGGAGAAATTCGCAGCCACGTTATCTGATAATGTCAAAAATGATCCGAAAAAAATCGAGGCCGAGTTCAAGAAATTCTGCAAAGGTTCAAAGAATAAGGAAAACAGATTTTGTTACTACTTAGGTGGTTTAGAAGAATCGGCTACCGGCATCTTAGGAGAGTTGTCTAAACCTCTCAGTTGGTCTATGCCTGCTGACAAGATCTGTGAAAAATTGAAAAAGAAAGATGCTCAAATCTGTGATTTGCGGTTTGATAAACAAATTGACCTTAACAATGTAGATTTAAAGAAACTGAAGGTCCGTGACTTAAAAAAGATTCTCAACGATTGGGATGAAATTTGCGACGGCTGTATAGAGAAGACAGATTTTATTAAAAGAATAGAAGAATTAAAGCCTAAATATATGGGCAGATCTGATTTGTAATTTAGTAGTTCAATAGGTAAATACTTTAATATTTTTTCTGTCTATTTCCTTTAGGATAGTTTTGGACACAACAAAATGCACTCTGAATCATTGTTCTTGTGAATACATTTCTAATTGTAAATATAAAAAGTATAATCCCTTATTTCAAGGAATGTTCTTTGTATATTTAAATATCTTTTTTATTTTCAGCTGTAATTGTTCTCAAGACAAAATGTGATAGAAGCTCTAATATCCCTGAAGCCTACGTCAAACGGTCCTGGTGACCTTCATTGCATTTGAAGTGATTTGCATGTTCTTGTGAATGATGTGTGTATGCAATAGACTAAATTATTATTGTATTTAAGTAAATATTTTTCATAAGCAAATTGTTTTTTTTACCTACCTTGCCTATAATTTGCAGTGCCACAACCTTGGAGACACTAAATAACATCTGTTTTGTAATGAATGAAAACTTTATTTTTGTAATTACCCTTAACATTATTAATTTTATTTTTCCACTGTCCACTCCTTATGACTTAAGGGTTAAGATTTCATGAGATGTAACTCTCATTTTGATAGGTTAACATTTAATTCTAACCTAATGAATTTTGAATATTTAATCATATTACTTGATCCTGTCTTAAAAGCCCCTGCAGACTAGTTATTATAAGCATATAGGTTTTAATCAAGTATGGCTGTTATGCCAGCTACATTAAACTAAATTGGTGCAATGTAGGAATTTACAGCTGCAACATGCTCAGTGATTCCGATAAAGTGTCTAGTCTGTGGGATCTGTAAGCTACACTGTGTGCCATTATTCAAATCAAAATGATTGATTTTTTCATAAGGACGCAAATAGGTACTCATTTTGTTGAAAAAAAAATCAGACAAATTAAGCACCTCCTTTTGGGAAGTTGGCCAAAAATTTAAGCTCCCTTTTTCTTTGTGCGTCTCCAACAACCATACCAAATGGTTTATGTCATAACTATTCAATATGAAAATGATATTCTAGAAATTGGTAATAAATAAAAGAATAAAATAGACACCAATTGTTTTTTTTTAACTATTTATTTTATTTGTAAGAACAGAACAATGGATCTATAGCAGACAAAAGCTTCTAACACCAGATACATAATTTAAAAACATGGTGTTACTCCATAATCATTTTGGTGTATTGTTTAGTGGTACTTGTAATTCCTGTGGTGCTCTGAAAAGTAATAAAATTCAATTAATAAATGTAAATGCTTAGTAATGCTAGAGAGCTATAGAGTTGCGAAAAGCATAGATCTACAACTACGACTCCTAAATGTAAAAAGGATAACAACTTTGTTGTGCTTTTATTATTAAATTACATTTTGAAATAAATAGAAAATAAAAGAGGGTACTTGGAAATTAGAGCAATGCGAAATAATGGTCTTGCTATTCTCAGATTTCACAGGGATTGGGTTCAATATCTCATAAGTTGATAAGTCTTTGTGAATACAACATATGAACTGAATAGTTAAGACAGGACATTCCTTGGTATTTTTAAAAACTTTAACTTGGACCTGAATTACACCTTCAATGATAATTTGTTACTTTAACATTAAACACATGATTTTCTGATCAGAATTATACTAATTTGATGCCTTATTAGTTACAACTTTGTTTGTAGATGTTACAAATAGATGTTTTACAAGTCTATACTTACTCATTTTTCCGTAATTGATAGCATAGAAGAAAGCCATTGATCCAACAAGCAGCTGGAAGAATGGAGCCATACCAACTCTCTTCGGCTGGACATATTTGTGTTGCCACCTCCACCAGGCTGTCCAAAATATTTACGCTTTATAGGTAAGTTAATAATATTTATGCCTAATGTAATATAACTAGCAATGTATTTAAGTTTCATCTAATAACCTTAAAAAAAATTATATTACCTCTACTGCAAGCGCCCATAAGAGCCGATGGTGTCTTATTCCTGCGACCAAGCCATGCTCCAACCTCATTCAACTTCAGCTGACCGAAAGGAGTATCAGCTGAAAAACATCAAATTCTGAAATTACATAATCCAATCGTGTACTTCACAAGGCCATAATATCCTTAAATTACTTACGTTTTCCATAATAGCGAGCCGGGTCGTATGGCCCGTGAACCGCAGGGTTATATTCTTTTGGATAGTCTCCGAAAGCCATGGTTATTCGGGGATAATCCGAAATTTACCAAGGAAAAAGTATTATGGAACAATTTGATAGGTTGCAATTACACAGACTATACCAGGGTGCACAATCTCAGTACATTTAACTTGGAAATCCGAAGATAAAATACTGCAATATAACGGAGCACCTTAAATCTATTTTGATAATAAGAAACAAACCAATTTTGTTTTTAGTAGTATTATATTTGTTATATATGCCAACGCGCAGTAATAGATGGCTGTTTTACCAATAAAAAATTACTAGTTCAATTAATATGCGATAGATGTCGCTATTTAGTAGCTCTTATTGTAGTGTTTTTTTTAGTGTATTTGTTGAATGAAACCTTTTTTCAACTCTGATTTACTTCTTTTTAATTGTCACTTGTAATTCGATGTCAGTTCAATAAGTAAAATGTCTATTACATTTATTTATCGTTAAAGTACTCTGTATTATCGTTTAATTGAAAATACTCAACAGTATTTAGGTAGGTGCAGTCCTGGTTGTAAAGAAAAAGGAGGTATGTCTGTGTCTACTTACTTCAGAACATTATAGACTTTTATATAACACTGTCTCTATCCAGCAGTAAGACGTCTCCTCTCGTATAATGAGAATTTATAGCTATAGTCCACATCTATGGCCTCGTGCCTCTGTACATTGCCGGACTACTTAAGTATTTGTTTGTAGTGTTTTGTCTTTAACATGTATTTGGTTCTTTCACAACCATATTTATAGCAGTAAAGTAAAAGTAGTAAATTGTTACACTAATCTCTCTTAGACTTTTTTTGTACATTAAAGCATGCTTTTAATGAGTGCAATAATACTAAATAAGATGTAACCAGTAAGAAGGTGGGAAAATTTTATTTTGGCCATTAGTCTCAGATTTTAAATGTTATTGCCGTATGGTATTACGGTTTTAGTCACTAGCCTTATAATTTTTTGTTAAAATAACAGATTATTATTTTAAGGTATGCATCAAGTACTACAACTTGTACAACTGATGTCACTGATGTTTATGTATGATTTCTCATCTCAATGCGTACCGCGTAACACCGTAGGATATATGAAATATGAGATTGTATAAAATGTGATTGTTGATACTTATAATACACTTGTTAACTATGTGAAGACAGTGTTTCAATAGCCCTACACCTCCAGAGCTCGGGACGGCAGAAAGTAACCGTCCAACAGTATCCTTTGTTTTTACTTCCTAATTGGTATAATGCACTATTTGGGTGGATATATAAATCTTTTCATAATGGTTAGATATTTATAACAGATATAATATAGGTGTATAAATATCTAAATATCTATATTTCATAACATAGATATTTAGATATTTATATAACCTATATTATTATTTTAAATAACGCTCGTTTGCCCCATTTTATTAAAAAAAAATAAAAACAAAACAAGAAAGAAAGAAAGTTGTAAACTATGAAATACAGATGGCGCTTTTCTTCGTGTTACCCAATTTTAGGCCGAAGATTGGTCTCTATTTCAGTATGTTACAAAGTACTCTGTGGACTATACTATACGATCCGGTTATTGATAAAGCATATGGACGAAAACGGACAGCAGGTATTTTAATTAATCCGTATTTTATTTCATTATTTAAAACGATTAAAATTTAGGATGATTAGTGAACATTTAAAGATATAATTTCTTAAAATCATCAAGTTCCAAAGAATGAACACAAAACAGATAAAGTCATTTTTTTTAGTCTTTATTATATTTGACAGTCAAATGACAAATGTGTTATAATCTGTGAAAGAGGAATTATACAGCACAATTTGTTTCTCAGTAATTTTTAACTTTTAAAAACATTAAATAAACTATAAGCAAAATGGTCTTGGAAAGTACTATGATATGTGTAGACAACAGTGACTACATGAGAAATGGTGATTTCCTCCCGACAAGATTACAAGCTCAGCAAGATGCTGTAAATTTGGTATGTCATTCAAGAACTCGATCAAACCCTGAAAACAATGTAGGTCTACTGACCCTTGCCAATGTAGAAGTACTCGCTACGCTTACTAGCGATGTCGGTCGCATTTTATCTAAACTGCACCGTGTGCAGCCGAATGGCAATATCAATTTATTGACTGGTATCAGAATTGCTCATTTGGCTCTGAAACATCGCCAAGGCAAAAACCATAAGATGCGTATTGTGGTCTTTGTTGGTTCCCCTATCAATACAGATGAAAAGGAACTAGTGAAACTCGCTAAAAGATTAAAGAAAGAGAAGGTAAATTGCGATGTCATTTCTTTTGGCGAAGATGCTGAAAATAATCCTTTGTTAGTATCTTTTGTTAACACTCTTAATGGTAAAGATACTGCATCCGGTGGTAGCCACTTGGTGTCAGTTCCAGCTGGAGGGTGTGTTGTTTTGTCTGAGGCGTTAATTTCAAGTCCTTTGATTGGAGGAGATGGCGCAGGACCTTCTGGTTCAGGCTTATCGCCATTTGAATTCGGTGTTGATCCCAACGAAGATCCTGAGCTTGCTTTAGCATTGCGTGTCTCTATGGAAGAACAAAGACAACGCCAAGAAGAGGAGTCTCGTAGGCAGCAGGCTAACACTGACACTGAAATGACCGAGGGTACTACAGGAGAAGCGCAAAATACAGGAATGGAGAGAGCTCTGGCTATGTCTCTTGGCAGAGAAGCTATGGAGCTGTCTGAAGAGGAACAAATTGCATTGGCTATGGAGATGAGCATGCAACAGGAGGCTCCTCAAGCTGAAGAGAGTATGGATGTGCCAGAAGAATACGCTGAAGTTATGAATGATCCTGCATTTCTACAAAGTGTACTTGAAAACTTACCCGGTGTCGATCCTCAGAGCGAGGCCATTCGTAATGCTATGTCTACAATTAAGAAAGATAAGGAAGAAAAAGATGAGAAGAAGCAGAAGGATAAAGATGGTAAAGGTGGATCAAGTTCAAAAGAGTGAAAAACTTTTTCAATTTTTTTATTATTTATCATAATGCTCGTAACTTCATTATAAAAATTTCAAAATACACTTGGAATCGTCACTTAATTAAATATATAAAAACGTACAGCTGTTTCATTTCCAGGATATCCAGTTAAGACCTTCAATGCATCTGTATTCTGCAACATATAAATTATTCATAATAATTAAAATGTAACTATCATGTAATTAATTTAATTTAAAGTGCATTTCACTGTATGTATTGTTTGTTTTTTATTAGGCAGTAGTAATCATAACATGCCACCTCATTATTAAAAAAAAAAACTGAGTTATAATTAAAACATTTCCAATAAAAGTTACTATATAAAGGTCTGAATTATTATTTAAGCAAAATTGACATTCCTAGGTTGCATTTTGTCAAAAATATGTAGAATGATTTCTCATGTAAATTAAATTCACTTATAAATAATTTAACGTTGTTGCAAATGTTTTTCACCATTCAGATTATTCAAATTAAAACTATTTAATTACTTAGAGACTTTATTATTTTTATAAAATTTATGGTACAACATAAATGACATTTATGGAGTCTCAACTTTAACACATGTACAGTTGCGGAAATTCGCGGTGTTGCACTTTCAAAAACTTCTTAAACACAACCAATTAAGTAGCAATGAGTTGCACAAACGACGGGATAATATAAAGCAATTTTACCACTGACTGATCTTTTTATACATTCACGCGTACACACAAAAGCTAGTGGTCTTTGGTCCGAGTCGTCGTCATTACGTACAAAACATTCAAACAAATATAGCTAATTTGGAATACCGCAAGATTACCTCCCTGTACCTCACCAATATTGCCATCCCTCTTATTTTATTGGTACAAAATAGAGATGACAAAATTCCTATCATGTGTTCTAACAGTGAAATTCACTAAATCAAGTGGCAGTGGAAAAAATTTTACTGAGTTCACTAACACTTTTGACTGAGAAGATTACAATAAAATTTAAGTATAACTAAAACAATGGCAATTAGTAAAAGAATTTCAAAGACATACTCGACTCATTCCAGTACTTTTTACTCTTGTATTTCTCTCTCGCTTTTATTAACTGTTCTCTCCTTTTCATTTCGTCGAATGGTTCCGGCTTAGATACTACACGGTTTTGACAATCTGAAAATAATTGAAAATATATAATTAAGGGTAATATCCCCAAACTTTTTGGCAACTACAGTCGCCTTTCGCTTTGCTACAATCCTAAAATCAGCGTACGCGATGCAGAGCAGCGCGAAGTTTCGAACAGCCAAGATAACATAATGCCACACGCCCGTAACGCACAGGGATAGACAAAGACGAACCTCCATTTGGCTCGATCACACGCTTTTCTGGCTTATTCGACATTTATAAACATATGTTAGATTCGCGTGCTTTTAATAAAGCTTGAGTAATTCACTTATCTGGACAGGAAAAGCCTGACCGTCCTCATTATAAACTAAAGAATGTTGAAATTTTGATTATTACTGGCTAAGTTAAATAGTTACCATTGCTTATAATGTTTTCAATATTTCGATCAATAACGTTCTTTTTATTTAATAACAAATATGAACTCTTGATATCTTCTAGTTGCGGTTTGTACCTTTTCCCACTAGCTGAACTTGTATCTAAAAAAATAAATTACCTATAACTATATGAAGTTGAAATTAAGAATTGTAATGTAAATTAAATGCTAAGTATATATATTAGAATGAGGCTTCGTTTAAATTTGAATCGAATTTGCCGTTTAGCCATGTATAATGGCAACACTGATAGTCTTACTACATACGAAAAACGCTTTTGTTTTAATGACTGGCTGGATAATTAATTCCTCTGGCATGTGTATTGGCTTTTATAATAAGAAAATGTAAAAAAAATATAAACATTTTGTTTTACATTTTCTTGATTTCTGATTTTAATCAGGACAAAACAATTACTGGGTAAAGGTGATATATCGTGGACTTCTCGACAGAATGTATTTTTTAAAGTTTCAATCTGACTTCTTCGTATCGTTTGCTTTTCTGGTATATTTTGTTCGTTCACAGGAGCGACTACTGTAAATATAACAAAAATTGGTTTATTGTTATTCTGAGATTTCAGATTTTAAAACCGTTCTATTAAACCATATTGTAGTCAAATTCAATAGAAAATAGATATTTTATGTTCAAACACTGGCTACCGATGTAATTCATTGACTGTGGATTTTTATAGGTTAGTTAAAATCTCGCATTTCCATTGAATTTGGGTATAAATTATTGTTGCCTCTGATTTGTGCAAAATTATGAAAAGGATGACATACAACACTGCAGTACAACTCCATGGTCAAACAATTATGATGAAATAATTCGAAAAGACGATTTACCTTTTTTTAAGCTCACATTTTGCAGACTCTGGTTAATATTCGACTTCTCATTGATTTTACAAGAAAATTTATTTTTCAATCTCAGATTTTCTGCGAAAATATATTAATATCAGAAATCAGAATACAAAATTAATAGTATTCATTATTTAAAATCTATTTTTAGTTTTATTGAATTATACCTGAAGGAACTTTCCTAGCGCTGATGTTTCCCCTTTCGATTCTGGGACTACAATTAAATCGTGGCCTAGATTCTATACTTTGCACTGAAATGTAAAAATTAAATGTAAAGACTCAGAAGTTTTTTCGTATTGATTCCTGTAGTGACCCACATTACCATACATACCCATAGGTCTTGGAGATTTGGATGGCAAATTTATAAGACCTGTTCTTATAAAAGGTTTCTGCATGCTATTGGAAGTGGAGTCTGTAACAATATAAACTTAGCTAAATATCCTGTCAACAGAGCCAGCGTTTGTTAGCGCATGGTGCTAGGCAGCCGCCCAGGGCGGTGTCGGGAGCCTACCCAGGGCGGTGTCGGGCGCCCGCCCAGGTCGCTAGACAGAAAAGGGCGCCAGAGGTCACCAAATTACAGTTTCACATAAGCTCCCCCGAAATGTGAAAAAAAAACGTGGCACAGTAGGTACTACTTGTTAATCATTAGAAATTTTAATCTTTTAACTCTGAGTGTTTGGCGGAGATTGTACGAGTATAATTTTTTGTGCGTTATTCAAGTACGATCTACAATACTTTGACTTTTACCTAAAACATCTAATCTAAAATTTGTCTTATTACGAAAAAATTACGATTTTTCTACAATAATGCCAGACCATTACAAGTGATTGCACACGTCCAAAGAGTTCGCGAAGCTTTTGATTGATGTTTCAAATGTAAAGATAGAATTTCACTCACTAATTCCGATACGGTTGAGAAGGTTGGACCTGGTTAGAGGTCTGTCAGGGTTGGAGCACGAGAGAAACGTGGTACACGGACCCCGAGCTGTAAATTACGAAAAAATAAGGAAAAACGAATAAAACCCCTCAATACAGAGGATCAACGAGTATGCGAATCTTTTTAATTACTGTAATGTTAAAGACTTATCATTCTGTACTAATATTATAAAGAGGAATTTGTGTTTTTGTATGTAACGAATAAACACAAAACAACGGGACCGATTTTAAAAATTCCTGCACTGTTAGAAGGGTACACTATCACTGCTTTACCTAGGCTTTACTTTTTACTGTAACTGTTTTAATAGGCAGACGAAGCCGGGAGCGAAAACTATAATAAATAAAGATACAAACTTTTAATAAAATTCATGCTTTTGATTCGTTCTGGTGTTCGAACTGCCTCAACCTTAGTTTGTATTTGTTGTCCTGTCAAAAACGACAAGAAATCAACAAGATTTTGAATTCACGTTACGAGTATAAACTCGGAACAAATACAAGCCTATATGACGAATGTCTTACTTTTATTTACAGCGCAAGTAGCAGGGAAAGTGGTCTGATTACGTCCACGTGATCCTGTACTTTTGCTCGACGATGCACTCCTATCGCGAGCTGAAACACCATTACTTTACAAGTTATAAAGTCACAAACAAGAGGTCGCCACTAGAAGTACAGTCGCGAAAAATCGCGGTGTTCCAGAAAAATTGCCTTGTTCTTAACAACGAGACAAACTCCGCCTCTTTCTACAAATAAGTAATTAGAGCTGTGAGTGCAAACGAAATAATAATAAAAGATACCAGCCGTGTATCACTAAAAGACTTTTTTTTTGTAAGACACATTTATAGACTACGTTGCATTGTTTTTTGTTCCGCGTTACGTTTCAAAATTTTCAAACGATTGTATCTTTTAAGATGGAACACCACCAGTATCCCCAACTGTACTTAATCGCGAAGTAATAACTGATTGAATTTGGAGTAAACTAAAAACTTTTTGCATCGAAACTTCGTAATAAAAAAACATAGTAACTAGTTATATATTAAAATGAATTTGAAATTTACTAAGAGCGCCTCGACTAGACTCAGCAGACGCTGGTCTGTACGGTCTGCGATGTTCCACGCTCCTTGTCGACGACCCGCTGTGTTCACGCACTGGTGTGCCAAATTTTGCCACTACGACAAAGATTCTCATAATTAATTCGTCCCTCAATGCTCCATACAAGTGAAGACATGAGTTAAAAATATCATAACCTTACTTTTTATAGAATAAGACATGAGCAAATAGCCATCGGAACTCGCCAAAATAAAGAAGCAATTGCCCATAGACTATTATATTGTCTACTAATAAGCCGAAGAGTGGACTCACAGAAAGTTATTTTATTTCCTTTACCTATGCCTGTGTTCCATCCCCAGCCACATCCACTTCCTTTCCGGCCCTTTCATAGCACGAAAATGGTGGACAGGTAAAGCTTACGTTTCATTATTAATGTATAACTTACAATTGGATATCCGACTGAATCTGTCCGATGCTCTCGGAGTATCAGTATTCCGATAAATCGAAGGTTGCCCTTTGCCTTTCTCATTTGTCCCTTGAATAGTTAAAATTAGTTAATCTCTCCGTCGTATTGAACATCATCATCTCCTCCTTATCGTACTCCCGTAGGATCGGCGCAACAGGTTTTTGTCCTCCACATAACTATCATACGTCACCTCATTCACCACTTCCTCTTTGATCATGTCACCTTTCACGCGATCCATCCATCTCTTTCTAGGTGTACCTCTACCGTATTGAAAACATAGATAACAAACGATACAAGGAACAAGGAAACAGTAAAAGTTTAAGACAAATATCTTACTTTGCATTCGTCCGGGGCCAGGACAAGTTTGCTGACGTTCTTTACCACCGTAACCCTTCATTGAAGTAACGCTTATACGAACTGCAAATTAACATCTTACTAATATAAATGCGAAAGTTTAGATGGATGGATGGATGGATGTTAGAGTTTGTAGCCTAAACGGCTGAACGGATCTCGATAAAATTTGGTATAGAAGTAGAGGATAGTCTGGAAGAACACATAGGGTACTCACTTTTGTTTTTTCTTTAATTCTACGCGGACGGAGTCGCGGGTGAAAGCTAGTTTAAATAACTCTAACGTATAACCTGGAGAATAAACCTATTCATATTAATAGACTTTAACACTTAGATAATAAAGTTTATGTTTGTTTTGATAAGTATTAAGCTACTTTCGAATAACATCGTAACGCTCATGTCTTGTGATTTGGGTAATTTTTTGTCATATAAAGTTTGTCATGTAGTTATTTATTTTGCTTCATTATATTATCTATATAAAGGAGATGAAATAAATAATAACTACAATCAACATACATATTTTATTTATCTTAAAAACGTTACAAAACTATTACATCAACAATTTAAATAAAACTAAATTTAAAATTAATAGATCAAACAAAACTCCATAAGAGATTTTCTTCACTACGCTTTCTAATTCCTAAACCTAATAGGAAGAACTAACTTAAAACAACCTTACATCAGACTTAAATAACAATATATAAATACAATGCAAAAATTTGTTTTCTACACAAACTAATACAATCATTCAAACTTCGAACGAGTTAGCGTGATTTAAAAGAGAAAATAGCTTCTATTCCAACACTTTAAATAATCCAAAAATATGTAAATACCTTGAATATAATGCAAAGCACTTTTTAAACAAAATACTCACTTTACAATCACAATTTATACATATAATATAAGGCACATTAGTAACATTAAAGCTAACTACTTTTCACTTTAGTTTCTACAATATTACATTGGTCATTTGTTTGTACGGTTACGTCGTCTATAGCGTTAGGTTTGTTCGGAGCGGGAGTGGGGACGTCCGTCGCGGTCGGCGCGTCGTGTGGTAGTGAGTAGTGCGTGTGTTTACCGGCAGGTGGCGGGCTGCCGGTGGCGCGGTCGCGGCGGCGCGCGCGGTGAGCCGCCTTCACCTCCAGCTCCACGCAGTGCTCCGCGAACATTAGCTGCAGCGGCGCGTACATGTACGGCAGCAATTCTAGATCCTTCATCCTTATCTGTACACAATTTAACCCATTGTTATCAAATAAAATCATCTAATAAATTAATTTTACAACTACAAAAATAATAAACTAAATTAATCAAGTTAATTTTTCGAATCAACGAATAGAAAGAAAGAAATTCACATATTCATAAGAAAAGCAATTCATTTGGTAAGTGATGCGGTATATACTGAAGTGCCGGTTTTCAATTAACCCTAAAGTAAGAACAAACAAGTCCTTATATTACACTCATTAACAATTAGAAAACGTAAACTAAATCTAACGAATAAATTAAAAAATATTTGCTAAATACATTAACTTATACGATAATATGGCAAAGTAAGAAAAATAGTCCAAATCGGAAACCATTGACAACAAAAGAGATTTTTTGATATTAATTTCAGATGTATTATATTTTTAAGAAATGTTTTACAAATCAGTCTTTTTCTTTAGTTAAAGTGACAAACGAACAAGCGGCCATCGGAATTCGCCAAAGGAGCATTAACTAATACATTTAAAAGCGTCCTATTAACTATATACGTCATTTCAAATCATACAAATCAATCAACTGTGTTTAATTCCACCGCAAAGTTCCCTGACTGTACCTGCATGTTGTCAAAGGCGACGCCAACACTGGCGTTGTCATGCAGTATGTGCGCGCTGAGCCGCGGCAGGCGCGCGTACCGCTGCGAGAAGTGGGTAAGCACAGTGTACTTTGCACACATCTGCCGACCCATCTGTATCGCCTGCGAGGTAGTCGAGTGCATCTTAGTGCGAGCCTCCTCAGCCAATTCATCCTCCATTGTCGCTTCGTGGATCAGCAGAGTTGAGTTTTGTCCTATTGTAATGTTACATTTGAAAAACATGAATTGACTAACGACTGAAATAAGTATTCGATTTCGATTTTCGCGTATCCGTAATTACCATAGTTATTCTGGTGAAAAGATACATGACAATACAATTTTATTTTATTGTTTATATTACATAACAATTTAAACCAGTGGCTGAGAATTTAAGTAACCATGGCAACTTTGATATTATACTGCTCGCTTGTAGTTTTTGTCCCTTTCTCACAGATATTTTCTCAATAAACGCTTACATTAGTAAAAAAAAATCTTTCAAATATTGACTTGAATCGAAATATTGAAGATTAACAATGCTAGACTATCGTTTACATCTATACCAAATTTCATGGAGATCAGTTACTAATTAAAACTAAATTATAAATGCGAAAGTTTAGATGGATGGATGTTTGTTAGAGTTTGTAGATTAAACGGCTTAAACGGATGAAATTTGGTATAGATGTACAGGATAACCTGGAAGAACACATAGGCTACTCACTTTCATTTTTTTTAATTACACGCGAACGAAGTCTCGTGCCTAAGCTATTATAGTACAAACTTTAACAAACATCTATCCATCTATACTATCGCATTTATAAGAGTAAGATAAAGAGTAAAAGCTAGCATGTACCATCTTTGCACCAATTAATATCAGGTGTTATCGTGGTCAAGGAATAATTATACTTTAATTAAAAAATAACTAAGTTAGAAAGTGAACTTTGCAAACTACATACCAATGGTGATGAGTTCCTTGCAGGGGATAGTATCACCGGAGTAGGTGATCTTGTGGTGTCCATCAACGTCAATGGCGACCCCGAAGGCGTTGGGGCAGTGCGACACCAGGCAGGTGCGGATGTGCTGCACCCCGATGCGAGACAGCGCCGCCGGCGTCATCTCCGTACCTAGCGAGTTGGACTTCGCCTCTAGCTGTACCAACATAAGAAAAACAAATATATATAGCTATTTCCATGCGACTTCATCCGCATAACATGATAAAAAATTCATTTATTGTTTACATTTGTCAAATTATCAATTGCCAATGACATGACATGATGACAAACTTGCTTTCTTGACATTGGCAGCAAATTATAGTCTCTTTCTTTAGTATAAAAGTATAGATGTAGGATTGGAAGATAAAACGATAGACGATGGTGTGAAACGTAGCGTATGTGCGGGGTAGGAAGTGAGCGGGGAGTTTTGACAGATGACAGGTGGGAAAGTAAGACGACTGGTGTGTGCGCGTGACCTTAAAGTATTAATTGTAATATTAAAGCAAATAAATACAAAAATACGAAGAATCAGACTTTTATTAGAAGATAAACAAAAAGAATCCCGCATATATATTTCGTCCACGACAACGTCTGTATGGAATTTAAAAACAAAAGTAAACTTATGTGTTCTTCCAGACTTTGCTTAACATCTATGGCAAATATTATCGAGACCCGTTCAGCTGTCCACGCTACAAACTCTAAATGATATCCATTTATTTATCTAAGCTTTCGAATTTATAACATTTGTAACTAGCTTTCGCCCGCGACTCCGTCCGTGTGAATTAAAAAAAATCATCGTAAAATATGTTACTCACAGATAAATTATATCGGCCCAGTAGTTTTTGAACCATCATTACAATCAAACAAAGTTTTCTTCCTATTAGTATAGAAAAACAATAATTTCTTTTCATAATCAATGCTAATAAACAAAATTATATGTAACATATAAACTCTTAAACTACTGGAACAATTTTAAAACTACTTTCATCATTAAAAAGCTATATTTTCTCTGAATGTCATAGAACATATTTATGACTACAAAAAGTTTTTTTTAATTGCACGTGAACGAAGTCGCGGGCAATAGCTAGTTTCATAATAATTTACTAAAATCACTCTATAAAATGGGATATAAATAGATTTTTTTAGTTATTTCAGCATTTATATTAACACATTGAAATTACACCTCTTACGTACGTTAAGTGCAATTCTTACCAAGCTCTGATTGGTGATTAACGCATAATCATCCCTTATGTTCTCGAACTGCTGGTCGTAGAGCAGCAGCCAGGTGACGATCTGTCCGGGCGCGAGCAGCTGCACCGGCTCGTACGGCAGCCGGCTCTGCTCCGAGAACGCCTCGCGCCGCGCCTGCACCACGCCTATCAGACCTGGCCCAAACGTTAAGCATATTAGAAGACATATACATATTTTTATTTATATGAAAAATAATAATTTTTTATCTATACATCATCAACTTGCCCTTATCCCTTATGGAGGGTCGGCACAGTATGTGCTCTTCCACCAACTTCAAACCACTCCTTTCTTAAGCATACCCACTTTCACACAATCTATCTATACTTTCTTCGGTCTTCCTCTTCTTTTGTAGCCATCCACATTCAGTCTTAACACTTTCTGGTTTATGTCCTTATCGTCTCGTCGCATAACATGTCCATATCACGATAACATTTTGCTTCTCAATTTCTCCACCAATGACGCTACTTTCAAACTTCCTCTAATATACACATTCTTAACTTTATCCATTCTTGTCACACCACACATCCATCTATACTATTATAATAAAGTGTAAACACACACTTCTTTGTTGCCTACGATGTCAGCAATCACAGCATATTTTTTGAATAATTCAATTTTTAATAGAAAGCCCTACACTTGCGTCACGATTTAGGCTATATATTTTCACGCTATTAAACTTAGGGGGTAAATAAATTTGATAAAATCCCTAATGTGGGATAGGGACCAACACATAGGTAGTAGCCTATGTGTTCTTCCAGACTATATAAGTATAGTAAGTTTTTTCAGTTAATAACACAGACTGCGTCTAAATTATAGTTAAACACTAAAATATAATTATGTTTTTAAATATTATAGGTATCTTACCCATATGATGGTCTGCGTGTAAATGCGATATGTAGACGGCTCTGAGAGTCCTGAGGAAGTTGTTGACTCGCTTGGGGCCGAAGAAGCGCACCAGCTGGCCGAACGTGCCCTCGCCGCAGTCCAACAACATTGACCTGTTTTCACTATAATAATACATGTTGATTTTACTTTACAAGATTCTTTTTCATGATTATAATATACTAGCTTCGCCCGCGGCTCCGTTCGCGTGATCGCGCGACGATCCTCTACATCTATGTCAAATTTCATCAAGATATGTTCAGCAGTTTAGGCTACAAACTCTAACAAACATCCATCCATCCATCCATCCATCTTAACTATTACATATATAATATTCGTATATTAGTATGATATAAAAAACCAACATCTCATTAACAACATTGTAATATGAATAAAAGAACTTATTCTGATTACAAAATTCGAGACAGATAGAGAGAAATGGGAAGAGACGGAAAGAGATAGGTAAAAAATCCTTCATCTCAATGGTTTCATTACATTGGTTGTGACCTAAGAGGTTTATAAGTACTAGCTTTTGCAGGCGGCCTTATCTGCGCGGAATTAAAGAATCTTAGTATTTATTGCCTATGTATTCTTCCAGGCCATAGCCAGAACATATGCTATATCTATGGAAATTGATAGAAAAAATCCGTTTAGCCATTTTGAAGATACTCCAGATATATCATAGATCATATATCATAGAATTTAATGAATCTTGGCATTGATGTAGAGAATAGTCTGTAAGACATAACTTGCTTTTGTTCTTTTTTTATTCCACACAGACATTCTCGGGTAATATCATAAATGTGAAAGTTTAGATGGATGTTTGTTAGAGTTTGTAGTCTAAACGGCTGAACGGATCTCGATGAAATTTGGTATAGATATAGAGGATAGTCTGGAAGAAAACATAGGCTACTCACTTTTGTTTTTTTAATTCCACGATAACGGAGTATCGGGCGCAAGCTAGTATTAGTATAATTTCAACAGTAGGATATGTACTCACTCTATTTGTATGACTATAGCGCTGGTGTTCCTCGTCTTGCTGGGGATGCAAGAGCCGGTGCCGAGGAATATCACTTTAGGATATTCAGCTTTGTACATATCCTTCTTAGATCCCATCTTGCTGACAATCTCTCGGTATTGTTCTAGACTTTTAGAGAAACCTTCCACTTCCATCGTCTCTTTTATGTAATCTTGGACATGAAGTTTTGGTTCCGCTGATCTAAAAATATTATTGAAAAAAGATTACTAAATGTAGGGGATAACCAATGTTTGTAACAAAGTAAAAAACATTTATTACAATTATTTTAAGGGTAGGATATGTTTTAATTGTAGCAATCTACAGACAGATAAGTTATTTGAATACTGAAGTTTTTATACAATGTCAATTTCAGTAAAAACTTTTGATTTTATCTATTATTTATAGTAAATACAATTAACTTTAGACATAAACTACGGAGTACTTCTAGAATTTGGTAATATTATAACAGGAAAATTGGATATAAAGTTGTCGTACTCACCTATCGAGACATTTTTTCGGCCTCAAGTGAAATATAGTGAGGGTTCTTCCCGTGATGAAGTCATACTTGGCCTCCGTGCATTCAGTTATATTATCTTTACTCATTTCTTCCATTCTTATTATGTTTTGAAACTGGGCGAAAGCGATCTGTAATTAAATAAAATTCAATTATTGCGTTTTTATATGTTTAATATCATCAAGTATTCAAACATAAATGTATGAAAATGTACTTTGTTGAAATTAAAAAAAAATAGCAATATCTCATTTGCTGCCACATTGAAAGTGGGGAAGTAGACACTCTGGAAGCTTTCAATCACTTAATATGAGTAGTCTACAATGAAGGAGTAATGAAACAACATATCATAATAAATGAAAAATAAATCATAGCAATAAGGCTGACATTGTGCAAATTTTGTAGATAATTCTTTAAGTATACATATTGTAATAATATTTGTGCATAAATTATTATATAAAAATAAATATTCAAAGTCTTAAAGGATCTTTGGCCTTTTCAACAATATCTTAGAGTAGCTCCGAGCTGGTGATGAAAAAGTGTAAACTTATATAATGATCCTAAGATACGGGTTGCTTACCTGGGTTGTTTTAGCTTCCGATATTTCGGCACAGTTGCATGCATGAAATATCGGAAGCTAAAACCACCCAATCGTGGTAAGAAACCCGTATCTTACGAGAGTTTTATTTGTAAAAATCACGACAGTTTAAGTAGTGTAGACTTACTCTATTCTTGAGTTCCTCCATACAATTAGCCTTGCCGAGCACGCCGTCAGTGGGCGGGTGCGAGTTCCAGACGGCGGGGATGGTGGCGTCCCGCAGCAGCGGGAACACGTCCGCGTCCAGCACGTGCAGGCGGTGCTGCGTGCGGTGCACCGCCTCCGACCCCAGGCAGGAGTTCTCCTCGTTCAGCACCAGGTGCTGCGTGCTGCTGCCGAACTTCGACACGAACATCCGGTAACTGGAAATATTCATCGTAGTTACATTTTTTTTATAATATAAGGTGGCAAACAAGCAAGCTGAATCCACCAGAATGGCGAAGCGACAGCTGCCCATAGACATACGCGATCGCAGATGCGTTGCCTACCCTTATCCGACGGAGAAGGAGATGCACATAAAGAGCATATTGCCCCATCCTATGCATCTCCTTCACCGTCAAATCCACTTCCCCTTCCCATCCTCTCCTTATAAGAAAAGGGTGGTAAAGAGAAAGGGACTTAACTTAGGCCTCCGGCCCACACTCATCAGACGAAACACGGAATTGCTTCCATTTGACGCCTGTCTTCTGTGTGGTCGTGGTATTACACCGGGCGTGCCGGCCCATTCGTGCGAAGACGTTAAAGCGGGCACTACCACTGTTAATATTTAATATAGTAAAATGTATTAGATTGTTAGCGTGAAAAGGAACATATTATGGTCGGTTTCCTAGCTACATTTAGTGTTTTTGGTAGAATAACTAAATGTGTTTCCGAACTATGTCATTTGAATTTTACTCTTGTAATTTAGTTCACACTAATGAATCACTAGATAATGACAAAATAATTGGAATCTTCAGCAACCTAGCATAAGTGTAGAGTGTGAAAGATAGCTACTATTTTACAGTCTTACTTGAGGTAAATTTTGTATTAATCTAATTTTTTTTAGACATCTAACATATTATTTGTGTACTGTTAATTGCAATATAACATTGAACAACAGAAGCAAATTATCTATAATAATATTATGAAGAAAAGATGTGTATTTTTGGATTGCTGTATGTATCGAAATAATAAAAAAACTACGGGGGGGATTTCAAACATTCTTTCACCATTAGAAGGATATACTCAAGCTAAGTAACATATATTACTACAAGTGTCTACGCATCATTCGCGTCTAACTTCACGAATATTAACGGACATCCTATTGGCCGGCGCGATGACGTTTTTCTGCATTGACACTACAGCGGAACGTCACTTCACTGAACCGTTGTCGCTGTTATAACATGTTGTTTAAAACTTACTTACCAAAAATTGTAAAAATCATTAATACACGCAAGTGAGCTATTATTTATATATTTATATATAGTTTTATTTCAATCCAAACAACAAGGTTTTTTTAAATTCTACACAGACTTATCTATATCTATACCAATATTAGAAGGAAGAAAAATTTGCATTTTTATATGTATTGAAATTACTCAAAAACTACTGGGCCGATTAAAAAAAATCTTTCACCATTAAAAAGCTACATTATCAGTGAGTAACATAGCCATTTAGTTTCACGTGGAAGAAGTCGCGAGCAACATCTAGTATTCAATATGACTTACATTGGATGTCTGAAGACATGAGGCGGTGTGAAATGAACGACAAGCGCTGGTATGTTCTCCATTGAATTAAGTCCATTGTCAAAATGCGAAGAGAAATCGTCCACTGTAAGGTAAGATATATCGGGCACTTCTAGCACTGAAATAAAAAGAGAAATATCATTAAAACAAACAATTATATAACCATAATAAGAGAATAAACAACTTTGGTCAAAAAGCCAAAGAGTCCATACAATTTATTCTGATAACCATAGATGTTTTTCCAACTTTTTTTGTGAAATGGCATGTTTGTTGCCATTTTACAATACACAACGGCAAAAGTGCGACTATCGGTTGGTTTAGAAAATGTGTAAAACCTACATGGACATAGAAAATAGAATTAGATCCTGTCCCACTATTGCCTGATAGAGGCTCAGATAGCTTAAAAACGTCACTGTCAGATAAGGGAACAAAATCCGATATTTCCATCACACATTTTACATGTTGGATTGTTAGACAATTTACAATTTAGTGGGACGGGCCCTAAGTCATAATTTAGTTTCACTTTGACCATAAGGTCTAATAACTTGTAGATGTATAAATCTTTGTTACTAACATTAAAACTTACCAATAAATACAGGTCCCGGATCGTCTGGTGTCTTCACGTCTTTAGATTTAACATGACTGCCATCGGGAAGTATCACATCATGGCCATTTTTAAGTTGCCCTAACAATGGTCCCGGTTTAACCCCTTTCTCGACGCACTTTGCCAAATCTAATGTGCCGAGCCTTTTCTAAAAATATCATTAGTAGATTTTACAAAACAAGTGTGTATCTAAATAATACATATTATTTTAAATTTGATGTTATAAAAATTGCTTCGCTAAAAATTTTATTTAACACTTACAGTGCCGATTTCTTTGACAAGTTTATTTTCGTAAATAGTAGTGGCAGTCAATGTGTTAACTCTTTAAATTACAAATCTATAATTTTGTAAAAAGCATAAATTTGCATTTTTGTATGCATTAAAATAAATCAAAAACTACTTGGTTGATTTCAAAAATTCTTTACTATTAAAAAAATACATTATCAGTGAGTAACATAGGCTATGTTTCTTTACTAGTTTTTATTTTCCACGGGCGAATTATATATTAAAAAATTTTACCTTTAAAGTACAAATATAAGCCACTGTACACTGTGATTTCCCTTCCAATTCGTGAAGTGCTCTCTCAGCCTTTTTCCGTACTGATTCTGAAACTAAAACATAATTAACAATATAACTTACTCCTATTTATTGTTCAACAGATTTATAATACCATTTTTTTTATGTAGCCATTATAACATTTTCATATTAATTTACTGTACTATAGCCAAAAGTTAATAGTTTTCAACGTACAGTCGCGGAAATCCGCGCTGTTCCGATTCCAGAAAAAACAGCCTTGTTCATTGCAACGAGACAAACTCAACCTCTTTCTACGAATATCTAATTAGATAGCAGTAATTGGTAAACGAAATAATAAAAAGAAATTAGTCATGTCTTACAAATTGACTTTTTTCGTACAGATACATTTATAAGCTGTGTTGTATAGATTTTTGTTATGCGCTGTTTCAAAATCTTCAAACAAATGTAGTTTTTAAGTTGGAACACCGCCAGTTTCTCCCACTGTACTTATGACAACTAGTCATACCTTTTTCTGGTGATTTATTTCTTTGTTTACTGTTTTTCTTCTCCTCCATATTCCGTACATCAGGATTGTAGTAATCAGTCTCGTCATGTATGAACTCCTCAAACGCCGCACTTGTCGTATCACTGCTGAGTTTGGGTTTCTTTGGTGGATTCATATCTGGTTTGAGAATGTTTTCCGGCCGTCTGAAATACAATAAGAAATTTACATTTCAATTCTTATGGATATTGCATAATAATGATGCTTTCATGTAGATCTTAAGCATGTAAATAAATTCTCTCTTAGATGGATGGATTGTTTAAAAGGTTTTATGACCAAGAAGGGAATGATGACTAAGATGACGGATGGTAGATATTTGGAGGATCAGTTTTCCCGTCCAAATATGACGTGGGGGCCTTCAAAAGGAGAGTGAACAGCTATCTATTAAGCTAGCTCGTACCATCTTTCGACTGCATTGTCATCTCCTTCAGGTGGGATCGTGGTCAAGCGCTAGCTACCATGCGGGAGTAGGATAAAATAAGGGAAATAATGATATATGAGAAGTATAAATAACTTTGTTAGAAATGTTGTTCTTTGTTAAAATTGTGCCATAATTAATGTTTTACTATTCAGACTAATATATTTGCGAAAGTTTAGATGGATGGATGTATATTTATTCAGTAAACAGATCTGGATGAAATTTGGCATAGATATATAGGATAGTCTGGAAGAACACAAAGGCTGCTGGCTTTTGTTTTATTTTTAATTCCACAGGGATGGAGCCGGAAGCGAAAATTAGTATCTAATAATTTATACTTACAATAAAACATATTTAACAGTCATGACATTATCAGTAAAATCTTCAGAAGGACTGCATGGAGCTAATGTTACATTCATGTCTTTCATTATTACAAACCTCTTTGTGGCTTTGTAAAGTTCATCCTGAAAAAAAAAACATAAACATATTTGCGATAGCTTCCTTTCATTAATAAAACTAGATATCTTTTTAATTAAATTAAGCTCCTGAGACACGTTTCACATTTGATGACATAACATTATTAAAAAAAAAGTGTTGCATTTTACATATCAGCAAAATTTTGTCTTTACTAAAATAATAAAGCGTAAACACACACTACTGCATGGAATGGGATGTCAGCATATTATTCAATAATTCTTTTTGTAATAAAAAGCCCTACACTTATGACACACTAGACTATATATTTTCGCGACATTATACTTAAGGGGTAAATAAATTGGAAGAAACCTCCATGTGGGAAAGAGAACATAAACTACAAGCTGCCAATATTAAGGAAGCAAGGGTATTATGGTAACAGTAATTTTGTCATTTTCAATTGAAAATTTGACAAATGTAAACACTAAAATATATTTATAATTTCAAGCGGATGAAGCCACATGGGAACATATAGTAGTACATAAAACTATATCAAAATCAATTAGCTTACCAAACCTTGAGGTCCATGTAAAGTGATATTAGGTACACCAACATCTTGAAGAGTTAGTGAGAGGCCAGGTAGTCCACCTATGTTCTTCCATGTCTTGTTTGTGATAAAAATATGGTCTAACCTTGTCAGCTTTACTTTGTGTTCATGTGCTAACCGTTGTGTTGATTCTCCACAATTAAAAAGATATCTGTCAATATAATAATAAATTAATATATAAATAAAGAAATAGGACTTTTATTGCAACAAAAACAAGCTACAAATGAAATCTTACATACATCAACCTTGAAGCTAGTAAAAAAAAAGAAAATATAGATATGAATGTATGTATGGATGGATGTTTGTTCCTACATATCTCCTAGCTTGGATCTAAATGGAATTTAGCACAGAGCAAAGGCTACTTATTTTTTATTTTTATGTGAATGATATTGGGTTTTGTTATATGTGTAAGAAAGTGAATTCAGATATAACAGCTGATAGTATAGAATATTACATACTGTGCCAATCTTTTGTATGAAATTATAGCAAATAGTGAGGATAACATTTTATAAGTTTATACAATGGTGTGATTTAGTGTTATAAAAGAAAGTTTAATTTATACAAAGGGGAATGTTAGTGAACTACACTACAACTTTTCTATAAAAAGAAGTCAAATAACTTAATCTAGTAAATGCTTAATCCAATAAATCATCATTCACTTGCCCTTATCCCTTACGGAGGATCGGCACAGTATGTGCTGCTCTTCCCATACATCTCTATCAGTCATATCTGAATCCAGTCCTTTAAGCATATCCACTTTCATACAATCCATCCATACTTTCTCCGGTCTTCCGCTACCTTTAGCTGTCCACATTCAATCTTAACACTTTCTGGTTTATGTCCCCATTGTTTTGTCGCATAACAAACTACTACTATTACTCAAATAAACGCAACACTAAAATTAAATACTCAAGACCAAAATAAAACAGAAGAGTTGATCTTATTAAAAAAAAAACATAAAATATCTGATAGGTTAGTAAAAAATGATTTGTTTAACAAACTAGTGGTATAAATAAAAAAATTACATTGCAACATATGTACACAACTATATGAGCCCACAAGCAACAATTTGATAACTCAGTTTGTTGCTTAAATTATGAATCATGCAGATAGAAAATTGACTGTTTCACAGGTCGTCAATTTTAGTTGAGTTACCCTTGGTCAGAGGTAGCCTATGTCATGTCATGAAATATGTTGCAATATTATGTAAAGAAAAATAATTACCGCTTTTGGTCCGTAAAGAGATATAGTGTGTTGGGAACTCCTCGAGCACCAGAACCCACAACCTGTAGATATATTGTACTGGGAACGTAGTTTTGTGCCTTTTTGGATATCTGCTGCCTCTGACGCTGTGCGTCCATAATTCTTGACGTATTCGGTTTAGGCATGTCGGCTAAAAATTCCAACAGCCTTTGAGTCTTTTTCTTTTGATAATGACGAACTGTGTAATTATTAAATCTAACTACTGATTGCAATAACACTCGTTTACCGTACATGTGTTTAGAGGTTATCAATTGCAGCTTAAAGTTTACGAGCATTCGTTTTGTGTTACAAAATTAATGGTATTTTTTAATTCATTTTTTGGCATTATACACAAATAAGTTATAAGAACATTACAATTTTTTAATTTTTCCTTTATTTTCAATGCTTATTGACTGACAAAACAAGAATGACAATTGGCAGTTGGCAGATGACATATGCTGATAAGTTGACATTGACATCTTTCATTTTTAGAAAAAAAAGTGAGTCCAAATGAGACTATGAATATAAAGTTTTTCGAATCGTGCACCTATATCTTCAGTACAATTTTATTATCATGCCAAATAAAATAAAACACAGTTACCTTTGTAAATTTAATTATCGTATTAAGGTTTTTGTTTAAATAATTTTAGAATCTCTTTTATGTTGCCACATATGGTTGTTATTTGTTAGTATGATGACGATATTTGTATATGCCAACATTGAACTAGAAAAATGGCGTTCTGTACAGCTGTGGGTTGCGCAATTTATATGTAAATGTGCACGAAAATCTTAATGAAATTTAATGTTTTATGTGTAATAAATACCCCTGACTTATAAAATGCTATTTCAAATTTATTAAGTGTGATAATATTGTATAGTGTTGTGATATTGTTCATTAGCGCAAACCTGTCATGGACCGTGTATTTTTTGTGTTGTGTATGTATTAAAAATATAAATAATGAAACGAAAAATAATGTGGCTGTGTAAATAATGTAAAAATAATGGGTATGCTATGGGTGATTTTGTTTTCGGCCTCAACAGGCTTACTTTTGATACAAGGGTTACCTGTGAGGCCAACGCCGCTAGTCTACCCTCACGGTAAGTTGCTAAAATAACATGTTTTCTAATTTATATCTAAAATTTTTCTTATCTTTATCTTAGTTTTCGAGCAATATTCATAATTGTTTTTTTTTTACACTAATACAAAAATGTATTTTACAAAAATCACTGCCTTTATACTTTTTTAAATAATTTTTGGGTAGTTTATAAATTTTATAAATTTGCCAAAGTTGCCCTGTTAAATATATTTTATATCTTTATGATCATACATCCTCATAATTGTTAAAATTTCCATAATCATTTTACAGTATGGTATAAAATGGACCAATAATGACATAGACACATAGATATAACATTATTATACACAAATATATTAGCTTGCAATGTTCCTATAGTTTATAGTTGACTATCCAAAACTAGTATCATAAATAAACCTTGCTCCTATCCAAAATGTACTTCTTATTATAAGATATGAATGCAAATGTTGAAATGGATAATAATAGGTAAGGTATTAAAAGGTAGAATGGATTACAGGGTCTCAAAATTTGGCACAGATATAGAACACATAGGCCACTAATTTTTTTTTAAATTGTGCATAGACAAAATTGTGGGCAAAACTAGTCTTAATTTTTCAACATTATGGTCTTAATATTTTATGTACAAACTTGTGTATTCCAAAAAATATCAAGTACATTTTTTATGAATATATGTATTAATATATTTATCCCTATAACTTAATTTTATCTCAATCTTTTTATAAAAATAATCAATACATGATGAAGGTGCTAAATGTGAAAGTTGAATTTCTCTGTTTACATTATTAAGACAATCAATTCTATCTGCATACACAAAGATTTATTGGAAAGGTAAACACAAACTCCTAGACATACAGTAAATATATCACCTACACTAAGACTGTAACTAGTACTGTATCTGTTGTCTTTATGGTTAGTTAAAATAAAAATGTTTTTATTACCATAAACAATATTTAAAACTTTTTTCCAGGTACAAATGAAGCAGCAGTGTTGGAAGGATGGCGGCCACAAGGGCTGTATATGCTGCCAGTGCTGGCGCTGGTCGTCACAGCACTTGGACTACTCTTTGGATGCACCTGGTGTTACCGACATAAAGACTGCAAGGTATGCTTTCTCATAAGAATTATAAATATGGCATGGATATATGAATATTTTATTTGGATAATCTGTCTGTATACACAGTTTCTATATTTTTTTTGGTTAAATAATTTTGTGTAGTTAATATAGTATGTATATAGTATGGATTTTCAAATATTACATGAATATAGTGTAATTATGAATTATGTAATAACAGGTTTTTGTGCACCTTAGTATTTACATAGTCTTCTATAGTGTTAAGTTATAGAATGTTGCAAACAAAATAAAAAAGAAAATGAATATGGAAGTTAGTATTCTATATTATATTTAAAAGCACAAATGTATGAATTATAAACTCTTTATAAATGTGTTAATGATAATAATTCGCAACATTTTGTTTTCATTATAAAAACAGTCATTTTAAAAAACTCAGTGCTGACTTTTTTCAACTCTTTGTCCAACGATTTCTAGAGCTCTCCTATTTAAAATTTTTATACTCAAACGAAGATCGCGTGGAATAAAAAAAGTTCAGTGAAATTTTCAAGTGAAAGTATCGTTTATTGAATGAAGCATAAAACTTGCATTGAATTAAAAAAAATATGTTTGCAAGATAAATATAGAACTCACACTATTTTGTACAAAAGTATGGAGTTTGCAATGGTTTAAAAAAACCATTGGGAACTCCATACGGATTTGGAAGTAAGAATTAATTCAGATCTTTTCAATTTCTTAACAATTAACATAATCGAAAGAAAATAATTACACTCGTGTTGTGGTATGGCCAACATAAAAGCAATCCATTTCTTCTCAATCTCAATAGCCCTTTATCTCTGTCCAGCAACATTTTCCATTTCTTTCTATCTGACCATGGTCTTCCAATTTATTATACTAACTTTCGCATTTCGGTTTACGCCGTCTATTCACTGGAACTTTGGTCTCCCGCGACCTCGACGACCTTGAGTGTTACTCGACGTAATGTAATGGTACTCTGCCTTTATAAATTTGCATTACACAAATAGAGCCCTGCAACCAATAACGAAAGATTCCATAGAAGACGTAACTCTTTTCGTCTTTGCGTCGATATGTTTATACCATATTCGTAACTCTTGATTTCTGATACTATGTCGTCTAATTTCTTCTCTACTTTTAGTTATAATGTTTTCCCTATATATCCATTATTTGTACAATACTTTAAGATACTGTGAAATACCACAGAGGTAACAAAAAAACTAATATTATATCTCTTTGCTTCCAAACTTTTCCCTATTGCTTTTTTTATCCTGTACGACGTGGACATAGCATGAATAAATAAAAATATTTTGACCGCAGTCGGTTTTTGCGAAGTTCTTACAAAGTAAATAAAAACAATATTAAAAAAATATGTATTGTTAGGTATAGACTACTGATGTCGTATTTAATGTTGCATTTATATTCAATGTTATCCCGCTGTGGATATTTCCATACTATTTCATTTTAAATGACTTTATTGCAACGCCCTTTATTTGGTCGACGGTTCAAGGTAAATTGCCAAATAGTAGATCAGTTTTGTAAATGTGCTTACGTCAGTATCAGGTCATTTCTTGTGTCTGTTTATATTGTAGAAGTACATAAAGATATATAACAAATATCTTCGTGTGGGTGTTTATATAGATCACATGTCTAAATATAGATATTTACGAAATAAGTACAAAAGTGTAAATCTTTTGTATTTAAGAACAAGAAAAAGTAATCTTGAAATATTTATATGGCTATATTTTTCTTTTTAATCATAACACAAAGGGCCAGTGACGCATATTTCAACCTTTAATTGTTTCATATAAAAATGTAGAATTCTTTGGAAAATTGTATGATGTTTCGAAGAACATTCCTTGTAAGGTATGTGAATAATTTTTTTCTCGGTGCCTTAGCCTCGTTGTACGAGAAATATCTTGTTTTTGTTAAGAAAAACAAAAGAAGACAATGTTTAATATTAAATGATCACGAGCGCAGTTTGTTGTGTAAATTAGTGCTCCGTGAGTTTACATTGCCGAAACACCTGTGCGAAAACACTGTTGTTTTAAAGAAAGTGCACGTGTTCGGTATAACATCGAAAAGAGGGTAATGTTAACAATAGAATAATAAAAGTATAGATTGTACGCCTGATGGTAAGCGATGAAACTGTAAACAGCGGAAGGATGAAAAAAAAGTCTCCTTTTAACCACCCACTGTTATATCGAGTTACTTTAAAACGACAAGGTTCTAAACGTAACTCATTCATTAATACGTTGCAGCTGTTTTGATCCAAATAATAGTTTTAACAAGACGTTAACACGATTCTTATTTAGACTAATTATGTAGATGTTTTCTATTATAAAGCCTATATGAATCAGGTGTTGTTTATAAAATTAGTGCATGGTCGTTAATTATTGTCCCTAGCGTACTAATTTAATTAAATCAAAAGAAAAATGCCTGGAAAAAGTTTAAAGACTATACTTTGCTACTATTAGCAGAATAACTAATAGTCCTGTCTTTTATTACTGCATTGTCATTGTATTAAATAATGTGTATTTTAATTAAATGGACCCAATAGCTTCCTTGTCGTGTTAGTGTTTGTAGACACAGGACTGCCGTCGAGCAAATTCCATTAGGAACACGATGAACAGGCGTTGTTCAAAGTTTGCTGAGTTTCAAATTGCCCGGTAAAGCTAGGGTTACCATTAAAAATGTTTTTCGGACTTTTCTTTTATTCGTTGTTGTGAAAAATGAATCCTAAATATTGTCTTACAAGATTTAAATGCTTTTACCTTATAGATATGTATTAATATATTCTATTTATTAATAAAAGTTTGCTTTAATCGTATATCTAGTCCTATAAGTAATTTGACGTTAATAATTTAGCTATGCATATAACTTTTGTTAAATTTAATAAACGGTCGTCCTATCAAGCCAAGTACTATCCCGTCCGGGCTATATAATCCTGTCTCTGTGTGCGTGTGTGTTCCGCACAGAAGGCAGTGTGCACGCAATCGGCGGACGGCGCGGGGTCAGCGAACTGCGCAGTATCGCGCCCCACGTGGATCTGTCATATCATTGGCCATTTATGTCACCCTGGTAATTCGGTCATGTGTCACATTTGTTTTTGATTGGATGTTTTGTATCTTAAAATTGGTACCATGTGAAGATTTATGTTTTACTATGTATGTCTGTTTATTTGCGAACTAAACAGTTTCTCTGTACTATCGATGTAGGTCAAATATTAATAGAGCAAGAGATTTAAAGGGTCTTACAAACTGGATAGATATCATTTGTGTCTACTGATAGTTACTAATCTTATAAATGCGAAAGGTTAGATGGATGTTTGTTAAAGTTTGTAGCCTTTACGCCTTTATTTAATTTAATTCGTTGTGTAAATTGAATCGTAATGCAGTGGGCGGTCTTTTCCCCTGGCATCACAGCGGCAAATATGTGTGTTTTATAGTTTCGTCTCGTCTTCGACAAATAAATGACTATGTAACTATTTATATTTTATAATTATTTACCGTGAGTATTCGATACATAATATACGGGATTCTTACCACGATTGGGTTGTTTTAGCTCCCGATATTTCGGCACAGTTGTATGCGCCATTTTCACGAGCTGACTGAAGTGATACGGATCTAAAACAACCCAATCGTTGTAAGAATCCCTTATCTTACGAACATTATAATTGTAAAAACCACGACAGTTTAAAGTTATATATTCGATATATGTCTAGAACGTGGTATGTTTTCATTCATAGCTGCGTAGTTTTTTCTAAAAGCGCAATGCATGTGTTTTTTTCCTTCCATCACTTCTATCAAGGTCGAACGACTTGATCAGTCTATTTTTAAACGACTAAATTTAGTTTAAAACAATATATTAATAGAACCCATTATATATTTTTATGATAAAAAGCTTTATTGTTATAAGCACGTTCATGTAAAAGAAAAAAAAAGTAGTAAATAAATCAAGTTTTGTGTTTTGTTCAATTACAAAAGTAAAAAAAATTACAATTTTATTGTAAAAAAAATTGTAAAAAAATATTTAACCATCGAATGTTAAATACTCCGCTTAGAATAAGAATCGCTCACAATTTGATAGACGTGATTTTTTTAAATACAATTGGGAGTATAAGCGTAGCCTAAACATTTAATACACTGTTACATATTTAAATGTCGTTTCAGTATTCGACCGTTAGCAAGAAAGTTTTGAAGTATTCGTAATGTAAACAGTTACACAATAAACTTATAAACTTTACGACAGAACAGGAGATCGTATGAATTGAGCAAAGGAGGTTCGTTATCAAACTTTATGAGTCAGAATCTCAACAAACATCAGAGTATTAATTACAGTCGGTGCTAATAAAAGCGATAGTCCGTCTGTTTATAAAGTCGTGAGTCAGCGGCCACCTCTCACGAGACGACCCAGACTTTGACGTAGCCTTGCAAACTTAACAAGGTTCTTTATTACGTCAGTTATGAGATACTAACAATATTTTTTCAGTTTTGTATAACTGAAACTTCACGTTACACTCACAACTCAGTTTACAGTAGGATAGCAGCAGTCAAAGTCGCAAGCATACAACTGGCATAATGTAAACGCTAACTGGTGCCAGTGACCGCACTATCTTTGTGCTACTTTCGAACTATCATATGTAAACCAGGAATTAATAAAACTACTGGTTTAAAGTGTGGGTACATAATGTTCCAGTTGTAATCCAGTGATTAATTCAATTGCTGGACTGGAATAAGGTAAACTGGGCATTATGTTTAATCTATGTTAGATGAAAGTATAAATAGTGGACAAAAATAATTAAGTAATGTTGTCGATGGTTAGGATTCTGTTTAGATAAATGCTAAAATACAAAAATAGAAACACATCAATACTAAATATTTATTGTAGATGTAAGGAATAAAATTATATTATAAAAACTGGGTCAAATATATATGAACGTAATAAACGAAAATTACCGATCGTCTATCAAACGACCTCTATGTTGAAAACAAAACGCAATTTCTGACACAAAGGAA